ATATGTATATATATACATATATATATATATATATGTATATATATACATATATATATATGCATATATATATATATGCAAAGAAAACATTTATTATATATGTGCTAATGGTTACCTGTTAACAACCATGTGGGTATGCTTGGCCTTTTTCTATGTATAAGTTCAGATCCTTCCTCAAATGATGAGACAAGCATCGAGATTGTTTCACAATGTAAAGACAGCATCACCATCTTATACAGAGATGGAGCCCTTTATTAAGGCATCTTTCAACAACAAAGTCAAAGATCTTTCAGCCTATACTCATGAATTACAGTGGATAAAGTCTGCGTCTGAACTCAAGTTGATGAGGACTTCTGCATCAATTGCATGTCAGGTGTTTCTTTTCTAATCCCAAATTCATCTTTCAGCAGCTTATGACTGAGATATTAACCTAGCAAAGTTTCTTCTTCTTTTTCTCTTTTACCAAATTTATTTTAGTTTTATAATCACTTAGTTCAGTAAGGTTATCTGCATTTTCCATTTGACATCTTTTGAGTGATGACAAGATTGAGTTGTTTCCTTCATATCTTATGATGCATTAATAGCAAGGATTTGTAATTGCACCTTGGCATGTGCTTGCCATGTGTCCAGAGTCACACGGGCACTGGATCAACGCTGCAATATGGCTAGTGCCTGTATGCTACGCCATGGCACAGGAGATGCCCATGTGTCAGTTTTGTGACAGTTGAAATATGCTTTTTATTGATTAATTATTTCTCTAATTATATATGTTTGTATGAATTATCTAACTAGTTTTACCAGGGTCTGCAATTTCATATATTGGTACTGTATTGGTATTACTGGTATGCACTAAGTTTTGGACAAATACTGAAAAAACAAAAAAAAACTGCTCGATACAGGGCATGTACCATCCTGTACGAGGTGGTACTTGTTCAGTATTGTACATTTCGGTGGTACAAGCCCTGTACCAGGTTGATTTACTTTGGTTCACGTAACGGTATGTTGTCAGGGTAAATTCTGCCTATACCATATTATATCGGGGTTGTATTGCAAACCTTGAGTTTTATGAACTGTGGTGATTATTTCTACCTTTCTGTTTGAGAAATAGAAGTACTGCTTTTACATCTATATTAGATCAAGCATGACAACATGCTTCTAAGAACAAAGTTGCAAAGAATTAGAAATTGTTTAGTGAATGACACTGAGAACGCTGGCCAAATACAAAACAATATTTTTTTGGGTAATATGACACTGCTTGTCTTTCATTGAGAAAGTTTTGGAGCACCAAGACTCCTGATTGCTTTGAAATGTCTTACATGCAATATCAAGAAAAGAAACCAATGTGGGGCCAAGCTCATAATATAGAAGTAGGTGGGTTAGAATATATATTATAAAAATAAAATACAATATATTGTATTTTTTTAAAATGCCACTCAGAAATCACTAATGTTCTTTTGACAATTGTAGGAGTAGAGCTAACAAAAACATGGAGAAACATTTTATTATTTGACTGTAACTTCTGAGAAGTCCTCCCATATAACATTCTGCTTGACCATTGTGTTACTTTTCAGTAGATGTTGTCTTATCACAATTTTTACAAAATCTTATTTAAAAAATGAGATTTCTATTTGAATTATAACTCCCTTTTGCTCTAAAATTTACAGACATAATTTTCTTATTTATGTTACAACATGAAGTCATATACGAGCCCAAACATGTGATCACACTAAATATATTTGTGCCAATTAAAGCAAACTTTATACAGTGGGTTTTGGGACAACCACTTCTAAGTTGAATTTGTCCATAACTAGTTGACTGATGCAGCACTTATTTTTTTTCTTTATTTTTTCTTTGCTTTATATGTTTTTGTTTAATTCTAACTTCAGCTAAGCAGTTTGTTTCAATCTTGACTCTTGAGAACCTGGTCTTGTTTTTTTCTTTAGCGCTTATGTGGAACTTTGCTAGGAACATTGACAAGTTTGATTCATTTGTCTCTTTGCATATGTGACAACACATGGACTTCAAAATCTATTTGAATGTAGAAGCAAATAGGTGATTTTTAAGCTGTCGTACTCTTCTATATTTAAAAATCTTGTAAATATAATTATTTAAATAAACATATGATATTAAATTAAGAAAATCATGTAAAATCACAATATCACATTAACAAAAAATCTCAAAATTCAAAACAATAACAATAATTTCAAATAAATAAAAATTAACAGTATTAAAAGCAAAATAATATATTATTAATCTAATAAATAAAAATATTGTTAATATATTGTTAATAGTATACTATTGAAGTGAGAAGAGTGTGAGCAAGAGGAAGATCGAGGTTGCTGACTGAGAGCAGCGGGAGCGGCAACGATGAGTGACGACAGCGGTAGCAGCGAGCAGCGAGCAGCGGGAGCAGGAGCGACAATAGTGGCAGAGGCAGCGGTAGCAGTGAGCAGGAGCAGCGGGAGCGATGGCAGCGGGAGCGGCGAGCAAGGTTAGGGTTGGGAAGTCATGAGAGGAAGGCTGATATCGATGCTTTAGTTGGTTCGATTGAACCAACTAAAGCATCGGAGATCGAACCAGACCTAAAACACTGGTTCGGTCGCCTGGTTTAACCCGGGCGCTCGCCCGAAGCGCTCGGTGCCTGGGCTCGGGCGAGCGCCCATGCGATGCCTCTTTGAAGCGCATCGCTTGGAAATGAAGCGAGGCGCTCGGGCCTCGCCTCGCCTCACCCGAGTGCCTAGTCGAGCACCCGAGCACCTATTGAAATCACTAAACTCACCAATGATGTTACATGTGAGAGTTAGGCATCTGAACAATAAGTGCGGAATACCTGTGAGAGTTAGGCATCTGAGCTCAGTGACTTGGATCAAGCATTGACGTTCTCTTTTGCCTCCATAATTTTCTTGTACAATTATTTTATTCAAAAGTTATTTAAAGCATAACTTTTGAAATTTACATCTATTCTCTTTATGAGTAAAATAATTACATTGCTGTCATTTAAATGCCATTCCCAGCATCAGTTGTAGCATATTCTAGTCTCTGGTTGTTTCTAGATGTGAATGGCTATTGTTTTCCATTTTCTATTAGCCATTTCAGAATACATGTATTATAGAATGTTATTATGGTTGTAATAGTTGAATCCTTATCTCATGACTACTAAGATTGCAGATCACCAATGACTGATCAGCATTAATCTTTTCCTGTTTGGCTAGTCTTTGTTGCAAACCATGTTGCTTTCAAGAATATTTCCAGAAGAGAGCAAGTTGTCAGCTAAGGTTGAATATGAGTGCAAGATGAGAGGTGCTCAAAGAATGGCGTAAGCTTTCTTATTGTATAATTACCTAAGTTCCTACCATGCATTCAACATTAGTTTTAGTGATTCTTTAAGGAATAAAACTTAAGAACTATTTAGGCGATGAGGTTAATTCTGATTGTTTTGTTGCAATGGTTGTTACGTTCATTTAAGCCCCTTAACTTATGTACTTTTTCTCTTGAAATTATCCTTCTGTGTTTTTCTCAACAAACATTCATTATCCTGGCTCTTATTATTGAAAATTTTCCTTGTGCATAACTTTAACTAGTTTCTTTTTTTGTGGAGTCATCTTTTTTTAAAAATCAGCTATAGGTAAATCATAGATAAAAATTGTTGTAAAATAATTGTATTCTTGGCAAGTGAGGAACTATTGCTATAAAGTATATATTCTTGTTAGCTAGGAACTACTGTAGGTTTAATCATTTTCATTATAAATGGAGGTATACAAAATTACAAATCAAAGTTTGACTTGTTAAGCAGTTACTGATGTATAAAAAGACTCACAAAGTGAACTTGGAGCTAGTCTGGTGAGTTTCTTTATAGTCAACACATGAATTAGACAAGATCACATCTATCTACAAGTGAATTCTATTGTGGTGGGATCTCTGCATTGCTAAGGAAGAAATCCAGAGGGTCACTAGTAACTGGTTCATCTATTTATCTTAAAAAATATAGCTCATTAATATTAAAAAAGAAAATAAAAACACAGACAGATGGACAATGTAACAATGACCTCTGGGAGCACAATTTAAAATATCTTAGTAAATGAGCAGTAGAAACCGAATTCAAGAAGAAAAGGTGAAGGACTTAAAGATTGTGGAAGACTCCATTGCAGTGTCAATGTTAGGATGAAGCTTAAGTTTTATGAATGATTGAATATTTCTGTCAAAATTATTTGGGATTCTAATTTGGTTACGATGTGACCCAACTACAAATTTAAAATTGACAAATTGAAAACATGGTACTAAAGGTTTTGTAAGATCGCTATGAGATAAATTCTTCAACAGTATTTGAAATGAGGAGTTTTAGAACATTATTCTCAATTGGATTCTGCTTAGATAAAACAAATAGAATCATAGTTGTATCAGATTATTTGGTCCCAAATGGTTTTCGAGTGTTTCATCATTAAAGCATGAAACACTAGAAACTGAATTTATACTTCTTTTTTCATATTAATTTTTGAATCTGTTTAAATGCAAACATTTAAAAGTTTAATGGTAGATTTAAACCTTTTACTCTAACAGTCATTTGACTTCTTACTGTATAGTTTGAGCTTTGCATGATACTGGCAACTTTGTTGTTGTATATAATTGGTTTTCACTATTCCATAGTATGTTGTTCCATTTTCTTGAACATAACATTCTTAATTGCATTTGTTTTCTTTGAAAATCTTGACTTGACTTTTAGGTTCAATCCTGTAGTTGGTGGGGGTGTCAATGGTAGCGTTATACACTACTCACGAAATGATCAGAAAGTAAGAACATTTCATGTCATCTTGTTGACTGAAGATCCCATATATATATGGTAGAACACTTGATTATAATGGCTGAAGCTTGACAGATTAGAGCTGGAGATCTTGTATTAATGGATGTTGGTTGTGAGTTTCATGGTTACTTAAGTGACTTAACCCGCACATGGCCTCCTTGTGGTAGCTTTAGCCCTGCTCAGGTAATTGTTGCACATGTCCTTTCATCTTTTTTCAGTTATTCTTTTGATCCTTTATTCCTGTTTGTTTGTAGCTTTTTAATTTCCTTTTAAGTGATTCTGTGAGTGCCTTATCACTGAATCTTAGGTGAATTAGAAGAATTGAGTTCAAAAGTAAGATAGTGGTTTCTTTTCTCTTAGAAGCCTATAGCAATCTAGTAGGTCTCATCCTGGATGGTTACATTTAAGCCTCAAGTTCATCCTGTGAGGTTTTAGTTCATATCTGCTAATTAGACTTCTAGATATTTGAGAAAATCCCATCTTTTTTCTAAGTTTTGCTTTGGTTAATTATTCATCATCAATTTTGAAGAGTAGATGTCAATTTTGATGATGGCCATAAAGAGACCTATCAATGTGGCATATATGTTTTTCTTGATTCTGGGTAAATCTCTGTAATCAATCTGATGTTGGTTACACATTTAACTGGTATTATTTTTCTTAGGCCCACTTATCACACCATGGTATAAGTCCCAGTTAAAAAATTGCTTAACTTTTACAAAACCTAACTGCTAGTCTATTATGTTGTATAAGGCTATAAGCTAATAGACCCTGATCATTGTTGAATATTTTGAACTTATCTGAAGGACATTGAATGCTGGTTGTGCTGGGTCACTTTTGCTTGTCTATACATTTATTACCTACACTAGCTACACAAGTCTGCTTTTTCTTCGTTACATCTGAGTGCTTCCCGTTGCTTAGGAAAAGACATGAAAATGATGGTATGATTTTTCTTACCACCATTGCTTAACTTTTACAAAACCTAACTGCTAGTCTATTATGTTGTATAAGCTAATAGATGCTGATCATTGTTGAATATTTTGAACTTATCTGAAGGACATTGAATGCTGGTTGTGCTGGGTCACTTTTGCTTGCCTATACATTTATTACCTACACTAGCTACACAAGTCTTCTTTTTCTTCATTACATCTGAGTGCTTCACATTGCTTAGGAAAAGACATGAAAATGGTAAAATAAGGCTTTTCTTAGGCTTTGCATCACACCTTGAAGAAATTTATTTTTCATACATGGAACTGATTTTTATATATAGAACTACTTACATCTTTCAACTTTATATTAAGGTATCATTATGCTTTGAGCCACTTGCATGAGCTCGTTGATTTCTCAATATGGTCAGAGATTCTACACATCATTTGTAAGAAACTGAAAATGTGCGAGTCTTCACATATCAAAGCCTCCTAAGAGTTTGCATGCAATCTTGCTTAATCATGAAAGTCTACAAAATTTGTAATCCAGATTTGTTGCTTATCACTACATGGATTGTTCACTTAATTGTGTTTGTCACTCTGTTTGTCATTAAGCCTGTAAATCATGCTTTGGATGATGAGAGACCAAGGATTCCTATTTCATGACATGGGACAATACCAGTTCTTTGGCAGACCTGTTTGTATTGGCCTGCTTGTTTTCCTGTGGTACAGGCCTATTATTATGAGTATAAACCAATCACACTAGCACAGGTGGGCCTACACAGTTGACATGGCATCAGATCCCTTGTCAATTCTGTAAACTCAGTACTCTAATAGGTTAACACCAGGGCCTGAGTGACCCATAAGAAAGCTTGGGTGTCGGTTATAAAGTTTGGGGAAACTTTTACCATGACAAGCAAAATGTCATTGTATTGTAGTGTAGGACTGTGGAGCTGCCGAAATGTGGATCTAAATTTGCTCAGGTGCAAGGTTGTGGTTCTGTGACAGCTGAGGAATGTTCATGTACCTGCAATAAATTTTATGATTCTGAAGTAATCTTGCTTGTGTACCATAATTATGCTTTTCTACTTTCTGTTCTAGCATTATCCTGGCTCCCCTCTAAACTGCAGTACTAAGCAGTGGCTATTTTGACATATCCTGATTTCAGAGATTCATAAATCATCTTTTGGGCTTGTATATTGTGTTTTCTGAAATTTCCCATGAATCCTGATATACAGAATTCTTTTCAGCATTCTTTGTAAAACATCTCAATCAGAAAATTGCGATGTGCTGAGTAATCTACCACCTATGAGAAAGTCACTGATGTTTTCTCTATTCATTTTTAGAATATACTCATGTATGCTGCTCTTGCTGTCTCAGATTAATTTGACAGTTAACATGTATAATACTTCTTAATTCAGTTTTTGGATTGACCAGGAAATATTGTATAGTCTGATTCTGGAGACAAATAAGGAATGCTTGAAGCTATGCAGACCAGGCATCAGCCTTCAGCAAATTCATAATTATTCGGTATGATTCATAACCCTAAATACTTGATTTAACTTTCTCTCTATGTTCTTTTTCAAGCACTGAGGACTCATAAGATGGATTATCAAAGGTTGACTGCCAGTTTTAAAACATTGTTGAATCATTAATGGCCCTTACAATTTAAAGTGCTTTATAACTGATCCCTTGTTTGGTGGGAGAATAGCTGACTTTAACGCTGTCTATAAATGCTAGATCAATTTAGTTTTGGCTACTTTAAAATATTGATGTTTTTGTGATTATTACTGTAGGTTATAGTTATTTTATCTTCCTGTTTTCTTTACACAATTTCTTATTAAACCTTGTCTTGTATTTCTGTCACTTCTGTAGATGTCTAAGGAAATTGAAGTCTAAGTCTATGTTCTCAGGCATTTGTCGTTTGCTGCAATTTGTTCTAGAGATCAGTCTATCTTATATCATCAGAAATTGTTGACAGTTTGCATCTCAATAATCATTTTCTGCCTCTTAATGAACTATAATCTCAGGATCTAGAATTATCTTGGGGTAATATTTTTAAAGACGAGCTGAAACTAACCTGGGTATATATGCAATTTAAGTGGAGCTTCTCCTTGTCCAAGCCTTGCAATAGAGCCTAAGTCAAAGTTGGATTTATGAAAGATTCAACAGAATTGTAGGACTTGGTGTAAATTTGATGCCTGCCCTCAAGCTACAAATTACCTGTCCAAGGAAACTTGAAACGTGGAAGTAAATGGCAACTACCAAAGTTTTGTCACTTGGACTTACCTTTTGTTCTAGACTTTTAGGTAAATCAACATTGATCATAGCACTTTGTTCTTTTTTTTTTTTGTATTTATCAGTATTACTAATTGATCATTAGCCATCATCTGTTTCACTTAATCTAGGAATGTCTGCAACTGCTTCATTTTTCACAAGACATGATGCTGCATATTGATGTGATTAGTGTACACTTAGCATCAGAGGGTACATTGGTTGCTTGTATCTGCCAGAAATTGTGTTTTGTGGCTTATATAGTAGGTCTTGCTTTGTCTAACACTGTTGCATTAACTTCTCAATGCTGCATGAATTGTAGGTTAAAATGCTTAGGAGAGGACTCAAGGAGATTGGTGTTCTGAATGATGAAGTCAGTCACTTGTACCATCAGCTAAATCCAACATCAATAGGTCCTGTCCATATAATATTCTTTCGTGCCTCCCGATTGCTTTTTTTCCAACTAATGTTATGTTGCTACACATGAAGTGAACAAACTAAAATGGTTTGCATAGTGATTTCATAGCAATCTTTTAATCAAATAGAGCAGATGAGCTTCACTCATTCTTTCGAACAGGTTTCATCAATTGTTTTTAATCTTCATAAGCATCAAGTGATTATGATTGTTCTCTCATTTATGTGCCAGGTCATTATTTAGGAATGGATATTCACGACTGTGCCATGATTAATAATGACCGTCCTCTGGAGCCTGGTGTTGTAAGTCATAGTATTAAATTCATCATTTCTGTTTTCTTTTCATTGGTTTGTTTGGAGAGAATAATGATCTTTTTCAAAATTAGTTTTGCTTAAAAACATGTATTGTCATGAATTTTTTCGTTCAGAAGGAGAAAATAGTAGTCTTTCCATTTTCAACCCGGTAGTCTATCCTGAGTTCTTCCTCTTATTTCATATTGTGTTGGCCAAAGATACAATAAAGAAACATATCTTTTTCCTGTCCTGAAAAGGTCAACCTTGTAAAACATTGTCTCATATCCCTACAGAGGGATGGTCTTCTTCTAAATAAAGAGGCACTTTATCAGTCTCTTGAATGGCAGAATACTGCTAGCAAACCATTGTTTTGAAAAAGTTACTTCGATTTGATGGCAAACTTGGGACATAGTAAAATTTTAGTTCATGCATTTCTATTTCAATGATTTATATATATATCATATTTGCAAATGAGCGATTGTCCACTTGAAATTAGATTTCATCCTTAACAAGTTATAGGTATCAGTCTAATGCTCCTTTTCCTAATTTTTCCACTTGTTTCCTTGATTGTGTGAAGCCCCAAACTGCTGCATTTTAAATGAGTTTCCAACTTGGCAGGTGATCACAATTGAGCCTGGAGTGTATATCCCTTCATCTTATGATGGACCAGAGAGGTTTGATCCCAAGTAAACTTAGTGCATGGTTTCCTTGGAGTGGATGGATAATACACAGGTATAAAAGCATAGTCTTTTGATTGGATATACACAGGTACTGTGGCATCGGAATAAGGATTGAAGATGAAGTTCTCATTACTGAAACTGGCCACGAGGTTAGGGATTCAGTTCACTTTGTTGAATCATTCATGTTAAGATGCTTACTGGATCTTTGGAACACAGGTGCTTACTGGATCAATGCCCAAAGAGATTCAACATATTAAATCTTTGCTGAACTACACACATGGTGAAGCTTCGGAAGCCTCTGACTTGATAACGGCATTTAACTAAGGCGATGCAGAAGATCCCAAGTACCAAAGATCGATTACATGGCATAGAAAACATCCCCTTAAGAGAGAGAGCGCCCATAGGAAATATCTGTAACCACGAGACCAAAGTAAAATTGGAAACTAATTAGAGCTGTACCTGACGGAATCTTTCACATATTTGATGCTGTGACTTCACGGAAAGAACGAGCAGTGACGACGTTCTAAAAAGAAACTTTTTTTTTTTTGAGCAATTCAATAGTGCCCCGCTATCTAAGAGGGTTTTTGAGCAATTCAATATATAGCCATCAAACTTTTTATTTGGCTGCACTCCGTATATACGTAACCTTGGTGCTGCTGCTGCTGCCGCCGCCGCCCTCACCACTGCTTCTTGCCTTTCTTCTTTTTCTTGAAGCTGCCTTTGGAGCCGCTGCCATTTCCGGGAGAGGGGCTCTCGTTGGTTGTGCTGTTGTTGTTGGCTTCAAACATGCCCGACTGCATTGCATTCTGCAACCACTCGAAGAATTCTTCCTCGGTGATGGCCTCTTCGTTGTTGCTTGTCGCCCCACCTCCTCTTGGGGCCGAACCAGATCCCTTGGAGCTAGTTTGCTTTGTTAGACTGGTGTTCACATGAAAACTTGGCTTGTGAGTGTTGGCAGGGCATTTCATTCCCTGAAACAGCATAAGCAGAGTGTTTAGAAGAGCATAAAGATGTAACAAATCCTCAACAGCCTTTATTTAAATGCAAATATTCAACAATCTCACCTGACAGATGAACCACTCCGTGACCTCATAAACCTTGCTTTTTGCACACACGTACACTCTTGGTGGATCCACCTGCAACAATCCATATCAATCTAAAACATAATATTGGAATGATTTTAAATTTTTTTACCAGTCTCTATGCTATTGACCAATAAGCTTTAAGGACGAGAAATCTAAAAAGATTGCAATACCTTCTGCAGCAATCCAAACAAAAGGGGCTGGAAAGACTGTTCAACCCACCCATCACCATCTTTACCTTGGTGGAATTCTTTGCAATCCTATAAACGGAGAGGGGCACAGGAGATATCAAAAAACTATGTTTCATCTCTTTTCAACAATGCAGGACAAACGTATAACCTGACACCATCTTGCTTGGGATTTGGATCTATCTGTGCAAATCCAGACATGGAAATCACTGCATTTCTTGCATGCTATTCTTCTTGCTTCTCCATATGGACCTTCATATTCAGCTTCAGAATGACTAAATCCTGGTCTAAAAATGCCCTGTCCCCCCTTCTGAAGAAAGAATGTTCATAAATATCCTAGAAATACGGACCAGAGGGACTAATAGTTTTAATGGTTCAGAACACTAAACAATAAAAATCTTAGACAAAAAATAATAATAAAATTTCTACATCAAATGTGCATACTGTTCAAAAAATGTCTTCATCTTAAGCCTTTTCAACAACCATTAAGATAGGCTCTTCAGCAAAACCCAAAGTTAAAAATGACTCATGTATTTTGCAGAGAACATTGATGCAAAGATGTTAACTCATCTCATACCAATAAGTACAATGGTGAGGCAATTTTCATTCTGCACCTGAGTAATAATTTAAGAAGTTTAGAGTAGTACTAGTGAACCACCCTATTGCTGAGCATGCTATAATTTTGAATAAATGTGCTCTCTTGGCAAAAGGAAGATAAATATTAAAAGAAAATTAAGAAAAAGAACAGATAACAAAGGAAAGCAAATGAAAGTACAGAAATCACAGAATAAAAAGACAGGCAAAATTTTCTCTTGTCCAATGAGTAATCTAAGTCCTCAGAGACCTATGGTGATAGGGTTTCAGTTTCAGGTCTGTTTTGAGCGGGTTTCAGTTCCCTCTGAAGTGACAGAAGTTATAGCTCAAAAACAGATTGGTTCAACCAGAAACATAAATCAAACACGTGCCTAGTCAACTTTCAACTGGTTAAGTTGAATGAGAGGAAGGTGTGTAACCTTGCTCATTTTGTCATTCTTCTAGCCCATTTTCTCAATCCTGTGTTCTTCCTACAACCAACAGCAAGAATCCTCTCCATCACCTTAGTTTTTTCCTCTCATATTTCTTTATGCATCCAACACTGTGCATCAATCAATATCAAAGACACATTATTGATGTGGATTGTGGATTCCATTTTACAAAAGCAAAATGAACAGAGTAAATATGAAACACCATAACATTCCTTTACACTCTATGGTTATGTGCTACATTCCTCAAAGTAATTTATTTGTTGCCTTAGATCTACAGTACAGCACTCACAACAAGATATTTACTTACCCCAAAGTAATCTAATTTTTTATTAACGATGTATTTTTCATGAGATAATCTGTATGAAACTAATCCATCCTTTAGCAAAAAATGAGAAGAAGCTTAGGATAATCTCAAGAGGAATTGTTCCAAGAAAAAAAAAGATCAACTCAAAATGCTGGCATTAGTTGGGGGTGAAGGAAGCATTGGAGTAAATAACTTCTATGTTATTTGTCCAAAAAGAAAGATGATTGAATGCAGAAACAGAGATGCAGGAAGTCTTTGGTCATATACTGTAGAAAAGATGGAGTGGTTGAACTTTACCAATGAGAGGGGCACATGATTGAAGAGATTAACTTTCACATTATCAAAGAGGACTACTCAAATCATCCCAAGATCTTCAGTTTTTAAACGATCTCTGTGCTAAAAACATGCTGATAGATTAATACACCAGGTGTGTTGAACATACAAATGATATTGGCATGCCTACACCCCCCACCCTGCCAGTACCAGAACAGCATGACATATGACTGACACAGTCAAGATAAGAACTTGTTACTAAGATTAAAATTCATCACATCCATAAAGATCGAATCTGCAGATAAAATGGACATATCAACAAAAAATAACTCAAATTTCTCCCATCGAGCAAGTCTAGTAAATAACTTGATCAGAAAAGACAATTTGAGAATTGATGAATTAGATTATTGGCATCTTACTAAACACCAGAGAGAAGACAACGTCATTTGTTTTTATAAAGAAAATGACTTTAAAAACGTAAATATATATCAGGCGTTGTATAAAATAAACAATAAATTAAGTTTCACATACTGTTTTTCGAAATAAACTTCAATACCTTTTTCCGTTGAAAAATAAACAGGAATTACCAAAGCACAAAGTTCTCATACCAAAATCCATAAATCATATGGGATAATTTACGCTAAAACCTGGTAAGATGTTATTTTTCAATATAATAAGATAGTTGCAGCATTTATAACAGCATGTATTTTACTGCAGAATCCAATGCAATCTCTCATGTTCAATTAAGTAAAAGAACACACGCCTGCACAAGTACACTAAAAAACATAATATACCCAGTGTGCTAATGACTAAATTCAGTAAAAAGCAAAAAGATGAAACTAGAAGTACAAAGACTACCTTTAGGGGAGAATTCTGAAACCTTCGAAAATAATTCAATAACTCTTCCCTCCTCAATTCTTCGTCATACGTCTTTCGTTTCAAAGAATCTAACAGAACCTGGTAAGAAAAATAACAATCAAGTGAAGGTTCTTTCCGCATTGGTTCTTTTTCTGCATAGGGGATTGTTATGAGGATAAGCAAGTTGACAATTGTGACGTGAAAAAGAAAAGGGAAATAATCTTCACCTCGTATGCATTTTGAAGTTTTTTAAATGCATCTGCAGCTTTCTCATTGCCCATATTCTTATCTGGGTGGACAAGCATTGCCTAGAGCCAAGTTTGTAAATTTGTAATGTAATTAGAAGCTAATAAAAATATGTAATATGGTTTAATTGCTAAGTCATATCTTGGAAGTAAGACCACGGAACCAGACACAAGCACCCAGAAACTAAACGCTAATAGTAGAACGACAATCACCTTCTTTCTGTACTCCTTCTTCAGGTAAGAGGCGTCTACATTCTCATAGCGAGTCAAACCTAGAGCTGAATAGTGATCAGCACAGTTCAACAATCGAGCAACTTCATCTTCAGAGCTAAGTTCGGCCTCAGTTCCACTGGTTGAAGGAACGCCTGGGCAACGGTCAGCTGGTGTCTCAGAAGAAGACCGAAAAGCATCGTCTCCCAGTGAAGAATGAGAAGATTCCCCAAAGAAATGACCCGCTCGACTCCGAGTTTGCCTAGTATGCTCTGAAGAATCGTTAGATTTGGAATCATTTATGTTATTCTTTAGGATGTGTATAAGAATGTCACTGGATATGAAAGACACATTGAGTCCAAAAAGCAACCCAAGCCACCCTACATAGCATCTAGCACAGTACATAGAATATACTGTAGAGATAAGAAGGGCAACCCGTTCATGGCCAAACATAAATGTAACACCTGCATATGAGATAGCATAGTGTAAATAAATATAGTTAGTTGTTGCAACGATAAAGGCCATATAAACATGAATGTGAGAGAAGCTACTACATAATTACCTGAAAAAAGTGACACAAGCCCTGTTGTCCAAAAGCTGCCATAGAACCATAAAATTCCCATTGCAAGTATGGCCACAACCAAAATTGTGAGTCCAACACCAATGAAAACTATCATTGCAGTAGAAATTACCTGAATCATACAACCAATAAATCAGAAGAAAGTTTGAGTTGCACACGATGAAGGAGCATACAATGCATGCTAAGATTTATGAAAATAGCATACACTATCAAATTCTGTACTTCAAGTAGGAAAAGAAAAGATAGTACAAATCCTAGCTGCTATCTGTTTTATTTTGACAAAAGGTATTGTCTAGCAATATCTAGAGAAAGAAGAAGATACTATTTTAGATAGGAAGAAGCCACTAAAATAGGGAGGCACCCAAAGTAACATAATCAATGGACAGATAAGAAAAAAAAACATTATTACCAGAAAGAAAACATATTTATGCCCATATGAAACACTTGAAGGAACCACACGTGCTGTTATTCTTAACAGTGAAAACGTTAATAATCTTCCATAACTCTGATCTTGGTCTAATTTATTTAATTATGAATGACAAAATATGTAGCTTTTCAAACGTGTGAACCTGGCCACTTGGATCCATCAATCAGCACTAGGTGCATATGTCTAGTTGTCGCCAAGCCTGTGTATGGGAACTGGTCAAGTGAAACATGCTTGGCTGTGTGGGTGACAAGTACTAAATCAAATGGCACCAGAGAGCCATGTGATGTGCACAGCAATTCTTGTGCCCCACGAAAGAAGAGGAAGGCAGCAAATAAAAACAACATAATGCCGAATAGTATGGCAGTTATCGGTTTATGCACCAGATAACCAAAAAAATAGTCAAAAAGGGGAACAGTTAGGACAAACCATGACTACAAGAATTTTCATGAATCCAATCATTGCAGTAATGGAGAGGATGCTGCACCAAATAGTCGTGAGGAAAGATGTAGTTCCCAACCGTAATAGAGAATCAAGGCCACGAATGCTGCAGTCCAGCCATACCATGGATAGCAGAAAAATTAATTTACCAAGATATAATGTCCATGTCAAAATAATAGGATAGGCATGCCCAACTTTAACACGGGCATAATTATGACTCTTTCGAATGACTGAATTTATCACTTTCAATCGTGGTTTCTGCCGTTCAAGCCATTCAGAAGCTGCTCCTAGAACATACAAGGCCAAAGACCTTAAGTTCCTAGATGCTACTGCTAGGAAAGCTCCATTGTTATTTCCAATGGGCAGGCCGTCAAAAAAGTGGCAGAACTTTCCATCATTTCTTTTTTCTTCAAAAGAATTTGATGAAAGGTTACTTTTTGATGGATCTCGTAGACCGCTTGACCTATCTTCTGATCGCAATAAACTTGGGATTTGATCATCTGGTTTCTCTCTAGTAAGAGCACATCCAGATCTCTGCCTGTTCCTTTTACCATTTGCCTTCGTTTTGTTTATCTTCCCAACGGGACTCCTTGGCTGACAAACATTATCAGCATTGTTGGGGTATTCTGTCTCAGGAGTCTTTCCACTCCGCATCTCTGAATTTTCTTTAAATCCATCTGAATCTATGCCTTGTACATCAGCTGTATGACAATTCAGACCATTCCTTTGGTGATTTCCCTTTCGAGCCATGAGAATTATGTTGTCAGTACACAATATAGAGGTATGCCAATGTCTTTGGAAGGCCTAAAAGGGCCCTACACATCATGTCATACCCTCATGGAAAGGATAGCACCTACAAGCAAATGACAAAAGCCAGATTAGGAATAACAGAAAGTTGTGTTTGGCGAAGGGTAATAATTGTGAAGTAGATTGGTTTTCATATTATGGGGTTAATTATTGAAAAAAAGGAAAATAGTAACAAGCTACTGCACAATGATAACTACTTGTAAGAGAGTATCAAACTGAAAAACCTAAAAGGCAGTAGATAGTATCTGAGTTAGCTAGAATAACAGAGCTTGACATACTCCATTTTAGTCCTCACTTCAATTGTATGTGTACACTCATATGAAGAACTCACTACTGAATTATTTACCAATTATGCAACCAGATTACAAAAAGTTCTCAAGTTAAACTACATAGTAAAAAGCCTAATAACCACAAACTATTTTCACCAAAGCACTTTTATCCTGAGCTTCTTAACTTCTCAACTCTATGTTCAATTTGACTAGAAATAGTGAGACCACTTTACCTGAATAGTTTATACTCTCCTCTATACTGGCTAGGGAAGCATTAATCAATCAAGAGTAATTCAAGTTCGATTTCTGGACAATACACAGATTTTGGTTACTAAAGAAACACTCGGGCAAGTTTTAGCAAAACTTAAAAAAATTAATCAAATGAAAACCAAGTTCAAAGATTTAAGATATTGAGAGAGATAAATATTTATGTAAATGCTGATATATCACAACAAGCGATGGCTTAGATGCTCTGCATGTTACTGGCAAACATGTTGTTCCTTCTCATTCATTTCAGACAGTATAATAAATAAATGTTGACAACAGATCAGATAATGGATTATCAGTTATGTCAATAATATTCCTCATTTAATCTGACAGTCCAGACCCAAATGCTTAGAATGGACAACAATCAGATGAATATCAAGTAACAAAATGTAAAAGACAAAGATTAAGGAATTTAAATATGTGAAACATGGCATTTAGATACTCAAAATTCACAACAAAACAAAAGATAAAATTAATTGATAATAAGAACTTCAATGCTATTTTGTATGAATGCTCCCCAAGCCTCAGGACAATAATAAAATGTATACATATTAAATATCTTGATTCTGTAAATTAATTCTTTTATAATTAAAAATTACTAATAAAATAATTGCAACAATTTCTATTGCACATGCAATACACACGGATACGTAATCCAGAGTTATTAGACTTGAATGCAGCTATAGCATTTGTTGCCTATACTTTAATGTTTCTTCAAACTCAAAGCCAAAGCAGTTAAGAACCAATAAATTTGCTCATAATGCAATGACATCTGCTGCATATCCTATTGACACTTTATTAACATATTGCAGGAGTCACAAACTCCAACAACTTGCAAATAATAAAATACAATAATCATATTAGTTACATCATTTGATTATTCTATTTGATGTTTCAAAATTCATTGTGATAAAGCAGAACTGATTGGACACCCTGTTACATCAATCATGTGTCTGCTGATTGTATAAATCAAGCAAAATGGCTGATCACTAGCTTGCAACCACTCATTAGCAACCTTGTAGATTTAAACATCAACCAAGGTGATGATTTGGCATAGCACCAGCAGTACAGCAGAGCAAGTCTTTGAACATTAACCAGTAGAAAGTACATCTACACATGATTTAATTCTATACCCAAAAATGAGGGCAACAGTATGGCTATTATAAAGCCATGGCAATTCCACAATTCCACCTACTAATAATAATCTTGGTGTCCCATGGCAGAAACCAGAGCAGAAGCATCACAAAAAAAAGAAGAATGTTTTTGTTTTCTGTCACACACAAATATGCAGCTGGAACTTCAACTCTCCTTGAGGTTGCATACATAAGTGTGATACGTGAAATATACAGAATTTGATCTTTGAGAAAACATTAAAATCCTTGACTACTATGTAAATGATTAACATGTTAGTTGACAGGTTAACCTACATGCTCCCGCTGTGTAAATCATGAGATTCATTACTGGTTAGTTCCGTGAATGATGCAGTATGAGGAAATTAACATAAAAAATAGTTTAACTATGTTTTCATTTTTCCTGAAAAAATATGCTCAAGCACAATGGGCATCCGACTATTTACTGCATCTAAACATTGGCCAAAAAATGATTTCCATGAAGATCTTATTGGGCCAGTATATATAGCTAAGACAATTGTCATCGATTGCACACCAAGCACTACCCATTGATCATGTAACTAAATGCTCCTCAATCCAGAGATCACATCTTATTAACTTAAACCTAGGTACCATCTCTTTGGCTCTGGATGACCCTCTTAAATCGCTGCACGGTATAATTAAGGGAGAAAGCCTCTTTAGAATATATACCAATTGGCAGATAACCAATCTGACCCAGTATCACCGTTTTGAAGTCTACGAACGACTTCCATTCAGAATGAAATACATGGTTCGACATCAGAAAGGATCAACGGATCAAAAATGTACGAAACCCTATTCAAGAAACTACCCACATGAATCAAGATGAACAAAACCCTATCAAGAACCTCGTTCACAGCGCAAAACGGATCAAAAAGAACGAAACCCTAGTCAAGAAACTCGCCACATGGATCGAGATGAACAAAACCCTATTCAAGAACCCCGTGCACAGCTCAAGCCCTATTCAAGAAACTCGCCGAACATCCATCCACACGAAAGAACATTGGAGAAGAACTGAGCCTACGCCGTTCCGCAGTCCTCACGCGAAACCCGGTTCAAGAAAGAGGCGAAACGAACCAATTCGACGCAGAAAGCCAAAAACAAGAGTCGAATTCGATCAGGAAAGTTCGAAATCAATCGAAAGCAACAAGGGTCGGAACAAGATGTAGAGAAGATGGAATCTTGACGACAAGCCGACCGGCGGCTCCAAAGAAGGGGACGAGAAAGAGGGATTACCTCGCAACGCACGTAGAAGAGGTGATCGGAGAGAAGAATCGCGGATTGAGAGAAGAAGAAGACGGGATTACGGCCAAGGCTTCCCCACTTCTTCGCCCCGTTCACTCCCCCTCCTCGTTACCCCACCTCGGCTTCCACACTGGAGAGAGACGAGAGGCGAGGAGCGACGAATCCACAGTGTTAATCGTGTGACCAAGAAAGGGCTATATATATAACACAGCGACGCACGCGTGTACTGTACGCGCTCAAGTGGGATCACGTCGATCGTTGGATCATGGAGGGGCCACCGCTTTTATCCGATTGGACGGGCCGTTGTGTTTCGCGTATTCTTTATGCGTATGAAAATTTCGTGGTTTAACGTGCTACCGTTCTCACGCAGCAAATTAGTATTTCCACCTGTCGGTATTACGCAGTCAATATGTATTTCTTGGAAAATAATGTATATATACACGTATTTCATTTATTGTTTCATTATATATTATATCAAATGATGAATAAAAAAAACTTAGATTAACATGAAAATAAAACAAAATCATTATAAAAAATAAAAAAAATGCTATATTATATATCAAACAATATGATATAAAAATAATTAATATAATATGGGGAGTATTATAAATTTAGTTAAAAGTAGGATATAAAAATATAAGTACAAAACAAAAAGGTAGCATGCAAACATAGGAAATAAAGAATATAAGAGTACAACATAATGTAAATACAAAATAATACTGATATTACAGTAAGACATAAAATAATATATATTTGATGATAATATAAATATTCATATAATTTTTGAATTGAGTTTGACTCATGATTTAATAATCTAAATTTTTTGATTGAATTGATATATGTGAATCAATCTAACTAATGTGAATCAAATTTAGATTTGCTTGATCTAAAATTGGATTGAATTGATGTTTAATGTCATGTGTGCTAATTCTAACATATTTGACTCAGACTTAAAGCCCTACTTGTCCTACAATAAATAATTGCTTACCAACTTTGGTGAGTTTGATAACATGTACAAGAATATTACTCTCAGATTATGCAAATACACAAACATACACAGAGAAACAAATATATTTAGCCTCAGCTTCATACTGGTGTGTGAAATCACCAGGCTGGCATTTTGGCCTATGTGGTGCAAGGGAAGCCAGCCACATGTCTTTCCAACCAGGTGGCAGTGAGACCAGTGACAGCCACCATTAATGGCTCTCTCTCTCTCTCTCTCCTTCTCCAGAACTATTCCCTCCTGTGCTTGTCTCCATGCTTCAGACTGGTGGACACAAGATTAATGATAATGCTTAACAACAACCAAGCAAAGACCATGGCAGAGGAGAAGAAAGCAGACCCATCACAACAGTAAGTTGAAAGCAATGCCAACTTTAGATAAGATAGTCTTGGGTCTGTGAAAGAGGATGAAGCTTGATCTACTTCTTATGCAGTATCATGTTCTACATGTTTATTGAGATGGAACCACTGGTGCAAAATAATCTTACTATAATAGCAGGTTTCACATCTTCATCAAAGGACCAATATAATAGTAGGTTTTACATCTTCATCAAGGATCAATATAGTACAGATTAATCACCAGCATGATAACAAATGGTGGACTCCTCCAGATATCAATTATTATGACCCAATGAGATAGCTAAATCAATTAGCTTTTTGAGACTCAGGTCACAACAGTAAGATGAGAAAGTTTTAGTTTTGGTTATGTGAAAGATCTTGACAATGGAAGATCTAATCACCGTTACAAAATGATAGATTTAACGTTCTCATCAAGGACTAACATAGCACATGTTCCTAGTAATTATTATGATCCTCCGTTGAATCATTAAATTTATTGAGCTTGAATCATTGATGCAAAATACTTAACCCCATGTTAGTAGCAGTACACAATCATATCATTAATTCAAATCCACATAGCCTTACTAGAAAAACACACCATAGTTAAGTATTATGAATTCAGTAGTAATTGCCTATGTTTATGGTGTTTCCGAAGCATTTTTCTTGGTTAATTATGAAGATAATCATCTTTATTAGTGTGCTAACAATCTACTTTCAGGGATTCATACAGATTAGTCTACTGATTGGATCATAGGATGGATCACTGGAGTAGGGTTTCAATCTTTAGGCCACTGATACTTCTACATTAGCATCATAGAACAGATACTGAACTCTTCCATAGAAATCCTTGAGAAATTCAAGGCAGCATCATCACCACAAAATTTAGATTTCACAAGCTTCTTGCGGTGAAATCATCAAGCTTCTTGCAGTGATTTTTTGCCTGCTCAATCATCAAAATTCTCTAAATCAAGATGAATTGCTTTGTAATGTTTTGATCACTTGTGCGTTGGAAGCTGTTGATTCCTCAGATAGGAGTTGATGAGCACAAGTGCTTCCTGTGGCTTGTCGAGGGGAACCAAGTGACCTGCTCCTCTCACTGTCACCATGGTCAACCCCTGGTGCTCCACAAACCTTCCCCCTACCTGCAATCAAGAACAAAGTTCCCAGGTATTTGGCCAAACTGAGTCAGTCATCCATCATCCATTTCTATCAAAGCTATCGTTCATGGCAGAGGCTGATGGTTGCGGACCTGATGGTTGTGGAACCAAGGCTGCCACTGGGACTTGAGAGGAAGACGCAGTGCTTCGACACAGTATCTTGATCCAATCACCGGAACTCTGCCGTCTGTGTCTCCACTGCAGAAGGCCAGATGGATCAGAGGATGGATGTGTGGTCGGATGAGGAAACAAACAAGCGTAGCTCACGGACCGACATGTCAGTTCTCTGACGCTGGTGGAATCTTTGCAGTCATGTGATACAAATGGAAGGGAACAAGAGGCACAGACCTGTAGAGCCATATCCTCAGCCCAGCTTTTATGAGCTTGGAGTAGATGGGCAGGACAGAGAAGACGGTGAAGTTGTATGTTCTCAGTATCGAATCACTGCAACAGTACAAAATGGCATCATTTACCCTGCAGGAAGACAAGGAGAAGAAGAAGAAGAAGAAGAGGAGACAATATCCAGCAGCGGGGAAGACGAGCTCACTTGCAGACACTCCACCTCCCGTTGACATTTGCATGGAGTGATCTCTGCACATCAACCCTGTTGAAGTACTCCTCAGCATAGGTCGAGAAACAGGGATCGTACCCCGCATACCTTCTAATCCTCCTCATCAAGCTTTTCTGCAACTCCAAAAACATCTCTCAGAATTCATATCCTAATCTTACAAAGAAGCATACTATTTTTAGATCGACAACTGTACATTCCGAGTCACCTTGGCATTATCTTCATCAAACGAAGAAGAAGATGATGATTGAGGAAGAGTACACTTGGGAGCATAAACATTGTAGATGTCGATCTCCTTGTACTGGTTAAAGACCATCTCCATGGCATCATTGCATTCATCAGTCCAGTTAAAGAGCTTGAAGTCGCAGACTCGTTTTGCAAGCCTGTAAACTTGGTCTGAGACCACTGTGTGACTCCATGCATACTCCAGCAACCCTTTTGAGTCATAGTATTCATCTGTCTCAGGGTTTCCCACCTGCAACACACACAGAAATCCACCATATAAATATGCATGTTTTTCCATAATTTACAGCATCCCTCCTTTGTGCCAAAAGATGAAGCTTATATGCATATGTACTTCAAATTCTGCTAGATGTTCACGTTACAGGCAGTCATAAACTAGAGATGGAAAGATGGCGCTCACAATGAAGCCTTTGAAGTTGATGTATGGGTAGTTCTTTGTGTCCTTGTTTCTGTCATAGAGTAGCTCAGCTAGCTGGGGCACATAGTGACCTGCAACAGACGAGCAGGAGACAGGAGACCTTTACAGCTCTGTTGCATTGCGATGATTGAAGGCCATGATCTCTATCTTTCTTATTTTTGTTCTTGATGTCATAAAGCTGAGAGATCAAATTGGAGGAAAGTGGATTTGTGATCACCTGCATAGCTTTCTCCTGCTATGTAGAAGTCATGGGACTGGTACTGTGGAAACCTTCTCAGCCAGTTGACCAGGAATCTGTAAGCATCCTCAGCTGGAACAGTAAAACAAAAGATGAGGATGATCTCACTGATGCAGTTGCTTGGACAAACCAACATAGATCAGACGCATATCTCAGATGAGTAGCAGTTTATTTACCCACAAATCCATCCTCTAGTTTGGTTAGATCAGAGGATGTGTTAGTGTAAGAGAATCCAACCCCTACTGGAGACTCCAAAAACAGCAAATTGGCCTCTGATAGCAAGAAAAAAAAATCAATAATTATTCAAGTGATTTTCCAGGAGAACTCATACGATAAAATTGGACTGATACAGAGAAAGCAAGCATGATAATTAAAGAAGAAAAGGACCTTTATTCCAAGCATATTTATTGAACTCGAGTCCTGTTCCATGTCTCTTCACCCTTAGAGGTCCCAGTTCCACAGCTGCCCCATAGCCAATTGATGAACATCCCGGACCTGTAAAGCAAGAGCGACACATTGAATGAGATGAAGACCTACAGGGTAGGAGATACACATTTATGAGGTAATCATCTCCATGTCCTAAAAACCAGCATCCGCCTACATAAATAAACCTCCAAGATGCATGAGAGAGAGAGAGAGAGAGTAAATTATGCACAACCTCCATTGAGCCAGAGGAGAAGAGGTCGATCTGACGGCAGAGTTTGAGCCTCAAAGAACCAGTAGAACAGGGCCCTCCCGTTCTCTCTGTTCACTGTTATGTAGCCTGAGAAGTGGGAGATGGGTGGGCTTGGTGGCTGACCGGGGAGATCAAGAACCCTGTCAGATTCGCTGGAGTCACCCAAGATAGTGAGCATGAAGCTGAGACAGAGAAGGAAGTGTCTCCTGGAAGATGCCATGGCCTCAATACCGATCGAGAGGAGGCAGGGAAGATTAATAGAGGATGGTGATGCACTAGTTTAGTCCTGCAGGAAACAAGAAAGCCACTGCTATGTCTAGGAACAGACATAAGAAAAGCCAGGACCACATCACTCCCCTATCGTTGCTCTCATCATCTAATCATGCTTCTAATATAAAAATAAAATAAATCTTAAAATTAAAATCAGATATATCAACATCATGATTATATATTTTTTAGTATAATTTAAATTTTTTTATTTGAATTTATATTATCATTTGATCCGAAGGATACAGTGATATCAATTTATAAAGAAAATCATTTTTTCTCTCTTTCTATCACTCGTATGATCACTATAAACGATAAAATAAAAATAAAAAAATATCGAGAAAGTAAATATATAATTTTTCGATAATGTGATAGTACATAAAAGAAATATCGATAAAGAAGATATATAATCTTTCGATAACGTGATAGTCCATAAAAGATCATATCTATACATAGGATCTTGGCAAGCTACTTAATCTCGGCGATCTTGCTGTTGCAAGCTGAAGAATCACGATGGTTCCTTGTCTTAGACAGCTAACCTAAGTCTTCTTTTCATCAGAGTTCGGCATGGGTAGAGTTGCCTACAACAAAAAGAATCACCAAACTCATTTTCTTCTTCTCGGGATGCACAATATCAGTGAACAGGAGGACTTGGCATTTATTTGTCTTCGAGTACCAATAGTACATTCATTACCTGTGGGCCTTATCCGATGCCTAACACTGGACTTTGTTGGTCTTCCTGGCACTTTCACTGATATCAGAAGAAGACCAAAAAGATTCTTCTGATGTGCCATTTATTATAGATATGAGCTGATTTGGGCGACGAAGTTGTTTAGAGGACTCGACTAGTTACAAACTTGGAATCATTCTCGGAAAACATGAAGTAGGTTAAGACGTCTATGAAGAGATCGGGAAATTTATCTGCTACAAATATTCTTCGTTAGAATTCATCTCCTCCATTATTTGCCTTGCAATCTAGATCATGACTCATAATAACAGGCATCTCATAATAGTCATAACTCATAATTATGACTACCTACATGGTAAAACTGTTCTCTAGTAAGGAGAAAAAAAAATAGAAATGGAGGTCATCATCATAGTTCTGCACAAAGCAACGAATTCAAGTGGAATGGTATCATGCAACAGAAGGAGCTGCAAAACTCAAATAGGCAAACAGCCAAACCACAAGCAAGAATTCAGATGGATCGAAGTAAAAGTATCCTGGATTAACTGTTCAAGCTGCACAAACTTGATTAAGTAATCCACAACCACAGCACCTAAAACTTTTTACAGCAAGAAGCATAGCACAAATAGGAGGTAAGTCATAGTGAGAGATGGACCAACCACAGCCTTACAGAAAAATCTTTCCCAGATGATCTGGTCAAGCTACAACAATAGAAGGGATTACAGAAGCCTGCATTTATGTTGCAATCACTAACCCTATAATCAAAATTCAATATGTGACTCGTTATGGACCATCAGCGTAACAAGCGTGCAAATTGGGGGGCCAACACCTTGTACAGAAAAATTCCGTGAATTGTTTCTATAAGAACTCATCCCTCAGAAAATAAATAATAATATGTTAGAACATTGTAAAGTAACAAAATGTTGCTTGCATGCCTCGGCTAAAGGTTAAGGTGACCTATGAACATCACATTCTGTTCTCTCTTTTTCGTGGAGCACAAGTTATGATCTCGTCAACCCTCAATATCATCTCAGCTGCCTCGGTTGCTGACAAGAGCACACCTTGCTTTACTTTAAATGACTCTGATATCCCTAGCTTCTCCATGTCTCCAACCTGTATCAGGGACATGAAATTTAAATCAGTGGAAATTAAAATTCAAGCACAGGCTTAACACCAGGAAAAGATGCTTCCACCGTATTTCACTTACACCACCAGATATGATGTCAATTCCTGCATTAGTTGTGTCATTGTGATGCTCAGCTCGAAGCTGAGAGATCAACTCAGCACTGTCCACACCAGCATTGTCAGCAATGATTGTGGGTATTGCTTGGAGAGCATGTGAGAAAGCTTCAATGGCATGAGATTTTTTCCCTGGAGTCTTACGTGCAAGGTCATCTACCTCTTTTGCCATCACCATCTCAGGCCATCCACCCCCAAGCAAGACCCTACTGTCATTCACTGTCTGAGACAGCACACAAAGAGCATCATGCAACGATCTTTCTGCTTCATCCAGCACATGGGAACTAGAAATAATTAAAAAAAGGCTATTATCATTAACATAATTATCTACCTAAAATCTTTGCTTTTTTGAAACATACAGCTTCATATATCAAACTGAAAGCTGATAATTTCAAACTCAATAAACTCCATAAACTAGCTCTGGACAACTGTCCATGCAACTGACATTGAAATCAACATCAAGAGGACAAAAATTTCACAAAGAAAAATTACATAAATTCTGGCAAGAGGAGGGCATAAACAGCGGCAGAGCAAGAATTTGCATTTTGGATAGGCGTAAGCAGGGCTGTGCTACCATAAATGCAGGTCAAAAGTGAATGAGCTAATAATGCACATAAGTTTGAGCAATTTGTAGAATGCAAAGTTTGATGATAAAGAGAATGGATAACAGTCAAAAGAAAAAATAAGTTTACAGTGTGGAAAAATAAGAAAATTGAATGATAAAAATAGTCTAAAACAATCATAAAATGGAGAGGAAACTCATTACAGACAGGAAGATACTTAAAGAATGCAAAGATGTCACTTCTTAATGCTGGCATAAGAAAATAATTCGGAATGATGGAAATATGAGGAAAAAGCTGAAACATTAGAGGTAAACCAATCATGACATTGAATATAAGATATCTTAGAACAAAATCCCCATCTCCACACCAAAGAAGGAAAAATATCAAATAAAATATGTGCATCACGGCTCCATGGCTGTGTGGAAGAAGCATGGATTAGAAAGTAGCTATTAAGAAAGCTACAAACACCCGGGATATATCTGAATCAAAATAGAAGACTATTATGTTTAAAGACATACCTTGCACCTCTTAGGACAATTGTACATGCCTGACCCATTTCAACCCCAGAAAAATGAATCAACTTGTCCTCACCAATCATTATCTCCTCAATCAGCTTGCAGTGTCCAAGCTTTACAGACTCCGGGTTATCAAAAGTTGATGCGATCTCACCACCAGTTACCAAGGCTAGACGCTCAATCCCTTCAAAGTCAGCATGCTCAATGGCAAGAATGCCAGCATCTGCAAAAAGTTCCTCGGGGAAGTTGTATATTAGCTGCCTATTGACAAAACAGTTGACTCCATGAGCTATGATTTTCTGCACTTTTTCTCTCATTTTCTCTTTTTCAGCTCCCTCAATCTCTGCAACTTTAGCCATTGAATCAACACGAACTCGAGCCCCATATATTTTAACTTTGTCAGTGTCCATGGCAGTGTTTGCCACCAAAATTTTTGCATTTTCGATGTGTTTTGGTTGACCAATTCCTATTTTCTTGTCAAGAATAAACCTGTCCAGAGTATCAAGGGCCTCATGTTTAGAGAACAAAAGCATATCACTACCAAATCTTAAGTTTGGAATTTAAAATGCTTCTTTATGCGAGCAGTGGAAAACAACTTTCTTCAGATATGAAAGCACTGATTCCCTTACTACTATAAATTTCTCAGGTCTTCTCTATTAACCTCCATTAATGTTGTTTGTTTTCAAGTTATTAAAGAAAATTTGCAACAGAATCAGATATATGCTTACATGTTAGAATGATAAATAGAAATCTGTATTCAGAGAACAAATATTTATTAGATTACAGATTATATACCATAAATCTTTAAGAATTTTTTATGAGATACCTACCCTTCATCTAGAAATGAATCTTTAAGGGAACCTCCAGCCTTCTTAAGAATGTGGATAGACTCCAAATTTGTGCTGCCCTGACAATTCAGAGAAAAGGAATTTTTATCTCTAACAGGTTTAATTATGACCAGAATTCTCATATTCCTCATACCAGTTAAAAATTTTGACCTCAATAAAGAGAATGTTACATGATATGCAACATGATACACGAAGCTTAAATTAGCTACCAAACATGCATGGACCCTTGAAAGAACATAATTAAGGTATACCCAGTTTAAACACTGGAAGTATAACTCCCTCAAAAACATAACTCCTCAAAAAGGCACTTGAACATTTTTGTCTTCTGTTAAATAAAACAACACTATGAAATTCAGGCAGGTTTAACTAGTGACGGCAGCGGTTTAAGATGTCAGAGAGCAACCATACCATTGAATGCAAAATAGCTGAAAACTAATTGCAGTTCATATCAACCTGAAATCAGTATTGCAAAAAGTTCTTTTACAAACTAAGGCCAAACATGGTTTTTAAAACTCGATCAGTTACCAATTCTGATAATGCTGTGTATCAGATGGTGTAGCAATCTATACCACCTAGCACCAGCTATAAAAAGTAAAAAAAAAATATCACCTACTGATATCATACAACCTAGTACAGATGCATACAGACCAGCATTTGAAACCTTGGACCAAATATTTAACCACTTGAACCACCTGATTCACCAGTTTCAAAAGCATTGGTACATATTGAAAATAAAAAGAGGTAGAATTTTTATCAAATTCTTCGACCGCTCAAATAAGTGCAGGTATGTGTTCCCAACATATATACATGTATATATTATAAATACCTATATTATACATATTTATAGACTAAGAGACATACAGATATATGAGGACCTATTTAACAAAAATGTTATTGTCAAATGTGCTGTGTTCAGAAAGTCTTCTAAGGAAAACATATGAAGATCAAACTATTATCAATAAGTTTTCACATTCACAATGAAGGACTCAGATAACAAAAGTGAAACATATGCAGTGGAAAGCAGGTCTATCCTGACAAACTAAAGTACTGATTTTGAAGCCATGAAATAAGCCCTCCACCTCTCCATGGAGACTACTACCTCAAGTAGAGGCAAAACATGAATTTTGAAATTGTCAAACACAAAAGGAAAGAATAAATGATGAACCTATATGTCAAAACATGCATTATGATATTCTTAATACCTTTAGCCTTAGAACAGCATCCACTGCTAGTTTAGCAAATTGTTCCTTGTCCTGGGAGAGTATTTTCGAACTCAGGGTTGTCATCGCAATTTTCATCAAATCTGACTTAAACTTGTCTGCAACATAAAAATAGCAAATAATCAATCATATATGTTAAACATGGAAAAGTTTAATGTAAAGTTAGAGATAGTATCTCACTCATCCTTTTAACCAACAGGCACAAGTCATATGTATTGCATTATCATTTGTTTCAAAAGCAAATTAAGAAGTTAAAAACCTTGATCTAAGAAACAGATTTCAGTATAACATGTACACATTCAAGATAACTGGTACCTGGATCCCGTTTATTATCCTTGGCCTTCTGCAGTAAAGCATTACGTGCACACTCAGCAGCCAGTCTGTAGCCTACATGCTCACAAAAACAGGATTTAGATATTACAATTATAAAAGTACTTCAATTTAATCAATTAATTCCAATTCACCACAATATATTGTAGTCAAGAACATAAACGAAGCAATCATGAAACAACAGATCGTTGATTTCAGAGTGTGAAACACACTATTGCACAATCTCATGTAATCATATGTGTATGCATCAGAACATACAAATGATCATTAATTAAAAATGCTTTGTTCACATGGTCTCTATTGAGACATCCAAAGTTGGTTAGTGCATTGTTGCACAAGTTATAGATCTCAGGTTCGAGTCCACGTGTGAGCGCCATGTACGCCATTTAATGTAATGAAAATATCTTCCCTTTTTTTTAAAAAATTGCTTTGTTCATGTTTTGTCCCTAAAAATACCCACTCAAATTCCTGATTACCACTCCAACCTCTCTAGAATGAATCACCATTTAATAAATATATAAGTTCGTCAGTTTACCCAATTAATTTCAGTCCACCATGAAATTTTATAGTCAACAACGTGAAGAAAGTAAAATGACAAACAGATCATCGATTTCAGTGTGAAACTGCTGACACCATAAAGTCATTGCAAAACCATGTAAATCTATAGATATGTCTAGGAACATACAAAATTCACAAATAAAAAAAAAATGTGCCCATATTTTGTCCCTAAAACTACCCACTCAAAATCTTGATTACCATCCAACTGCTATATTGCAGACCACCATATACTATCAATCTAAGTGATATTTTCTCCTCCTTCCCAACACATGTACCAAGATGACAAGAATTATAGACTATTTAACGTGCTATTCTTCTGGAATTGTTTGTAAGAGTAGAAAATTTTCAAGAATAGAAATGGGTAGAATGATACAACAAGATACTAATCTAGGATCTCAGTACACATTACAGGCATAGGACACCGATACAACATGATACAGATATACTAATAACTTGGCCTTGTAAAAAAAAAGTCAAAATATGTAACTAAATATCATGATAAATGATAAGAAATACTTAACTGGAATTTCTAACATATTCATCTTCAGAAAGCTATGTTTAGTTATGTAATACTTCAAAAATATAATAAAGATACTCAGAACATAAAAGAAAGATTCTTATTTATTCATTACCTAATCATATAACCTCCTAGTTGCCCTTTTTTATCAATATTACTAAAAATAGAATTCTTCCCAAAATTGTACACAAAATATAACCTAAGTGTCTTAAAAACAAGCCGATCTTTTTCAATTAATGAAAGATCAGATACTTTAAGGAAGCATTTAACAAATTAACATGTATCCCTAGAAGCACTAACATATCCAATATGATAATGGCAAACACTTTGAGGTATCAAGTATCAGTTTATCACAATTAAGAGTAATATTGTAAAGAATACATATGAGTAGCTACTTGTACAATACAACATATCATACTCGAAGTTGACAATTTTAATATTATTTTATACCTAAGATGTGCTGAAGCACTATATCACTGGCATCCAGAAAATATTTAGAGAGATGCTAACACAAACCTGCAATAATAGTCATTGGATGAATTTTTTTATTGACTAGTTTTTCAGCCTCTCTCAGAAGCTCTCCAGCCAAAACAACAACAGAAGTCGTCCCGTCACCAACCTCGTCATCTTGAACTTTGGAGATATCTGGTGCTAAAGTTGAGGTTTTTTTTTTCTCAGGGAAGCCACTGACTCATAATCATGTTTAGAAATTAAGAAGTCAATTAAATTATGCAAATTTGAGATGCAAAATAAGCATTTGATGGTGTACACAATCCAGGAAACTAATCAATCAACTGAACAATAAGGCACACCAAAGGATACCAATAAGGTGATGGTGTACAAAATCCACGAAACTAATCAATCAAGTGAACAATAAGGCACACCAAAGGATACCAATAAGGACCTTAGCAGCTGGATTGTCAATATGAAGAGATTTCAAGATAGTTGCACCATCATTAGTAACAGTAACATTGTGTCCTCTACCAGTTGATTGCAATATTTTATCCTACACATTAGACACAGCAACCAACAGGATTAATTGATTGGAAGATATTGAAGAAAAGGAAAAATATAACAAGCGTAAAAGAGTATACCATTCCTTTTGGACCTAAAGTTGTCTTGACCAAGTCTGCAATTGCCATGGCACCGACAAATGAGGCCTGCAGTTTAAAAAAAATCATGGCCAACATTCAATTATGAGAAAATTTTCAAAAAGGTCATATCAGTAGAATGAAATACAACGTTTGGTAGGTAACCACTTTAAAAACATGAGAAAATATCTGCATAAGGAAAACAAGACTGGAATTGGTGAGTACCAATGTTTCTAACCAAATTTAATCATTCTCTATATATGTATGCACAACTCATATTTATTTGGGCTTTACAATTTTGTTAACTGACCGATATCACTTTAAAACTCAGTCAAGCACCTGTTTTATTTCCGAATCTATAGTCACTGGATAAAAAAATGGAGCTTCAGTTATCCAATCAAGGATCACAAAATTTTCAGTTTGTTTCATATCAAGTTTACAAGCGCATTTCCAATCAGTCTTAAATAAATCAGGGTATAGAATTCTGGGTTCACTTCTTGACACTAAAACATACGAAATTATGACATGCAGAAAGATTAGCATAGTATTGGTTCAGAAACATGAGATGCTCGACCAGCTTGAATTTGGGAAATGGTTATATCATGACCTACATATTACATCTAATAACTCTCTGTCCTCATTGACTCTCTATTTTAATTCTATTATATCAAAAGAAGAACAATTATACAAAAGAAGCAAATCACATATCCACTTTCCAGACCCGTCCATAACCATTATGGCTGATAACAAAAGTATGTTTTACTATAGAGGCCACAGACAAGATCAAACTCAAAAAAGTGAATATGCGAGGAAAAGGAATGATATTGTGGCTATGATTGATCTACCAAAAGGAACACTAGTGTCAGTATCGTGTATGATCCAAGAAACATCAAAGAGACTGCACACCATTCTCGCTCGATCTCCTTTCTCCTCGGTAGCTTCATCTTTAAGCAGCCGTTCCACCTAAGACCAAATACATCATCAAGAAATAAAATCAATTAAAAAAGCCAAAGACAAACCGTTGTCGTCAAAATCCGACGAAATCTACCAAGAAAAATCAACAGAAACTGCACATACCGTCATTTCGCAAGGCTGATATCAAACGGGAAGGAAACGAATCACGATGAAGTAATCGAAATGGGGAACGGGGAGTATACCCTCGGTTTCCTTTCTTGGACTTCTCCGGAAATCCAAAACCCTAGAACCGATTCAAGAAAGCCCCGGACGTCGAGGGAACATACGAGAGTAACGGGGCTTGACAGGGCCGTCGCCATGAAGGGGCGCGGGCGCCTTAACTGCACCAGCCGTGGACACGAGTAGAACCCGGATCGCATCTGAGTTACTCGGGTATTTGGGTCCAAGCTCCGATCCGATAACACGATCCGGTCCTTGTATTTATATTTTATAGTTCATATTTATATTCCATAGACCATCATTTATATCTTATATATCTATTATTCTAATACTATTATATTTTTTTATGAATGTATTTTTTTGTTATACGTTAGTGAATTGTAAGGAGAATTTAAGGGCGCAACTGGGAATCGAATATCGGATGGCAAGGGTTCTTAACCCGACCCGTTATTGGACCCTGATATGGAACAAAGTCGTGCACCTAATGCTATGAGCTGGACCTAAACGGGTCAAGTTTATCGACGACCCGATTAGAGACCACACTTACCACCTCAAGGAGCAATCTTGTTGAGGTACCGCTCCTTCCTTCTGCCAGTTCCTCGCGCATTCGTCTCGCAGCCACGACTCCACGGAGACAACGATCGAGCTTTCACTCTTTGCTTCCCGATCAGGAGCTCCCTTGAAATCTGCGGAAGGGCGTGGGGGACACGAAGCAGAGGAGGAGGGAGAGTCGAGGATAGGAGAGGCGGAACATAGGTCTGTCGATAGGAAAAGATGGTGAAGGTTCGCATGAACACGGCCGATGTGGCCGCGGAGTTGAAGTGCCTCCGCAAGCTCATCGGAATGCGCTGCGCCAACGTCTATGATATCTCACCCAAGGTGGGCAACCTAATCCCAATCCCGCGATTCGATCAAAACCCTAATTCATGTAGTGTCCCGTATCTTTCCCTTCTCTTCTCTTGTAATTAATTCCTAGTTGGTTTGGTTGTTTCCTTCAGGCTTTAATTACGCCATCTCTTTTTGATGGTAATGCCGTTGCCCGATGAACCTTTTCAGTTTCTAATTTTGTTTTCTTCAATCCTCTTTTGATTGTTTGGTTTGTATGTGCACTGATGAAATTTAGCATTATATATTTCCTGCTACTGTCGTTGTATATACCTCAAAATTTAAAGAGAAAGTGGATTGTTCATGGCATGAACTTAGTCTAAAGCCATGTAAATCAAAAGGTAGGTTTTCTGCGTACCAATTGGTTTCCAAGTGGAACGAGGCTCACTGCCACTTTAGTTCAAGAACTTCATGGCTAGTATATTGCCTTCTGAGGTCAAAATTATTCTTCATGGGATGACTACTTTGATCCACTAGTTTATTTACTATGGAAAATATTTTCTTCATTTATCATTGTGTCCTTTTTCTTATCCCACTTGATCGAAGCATCTAATCCAACTTCTGCAAGTACTATTAGCAATAATGATGATGATTTTGTCTGTATCATATTACCTTTTTTGAATGCATCTGTGTGAACGTTTGACACTGTTTGATTAATGCCCTCATCTGAATCTGATAATCTCTAAAACCTTCGCCTCATTTACATCCATGCAAACACCTTGTTGTTGGATGATCTATTAACCATATCATCATAAGCAGCAGGACAAACACTATAATTTATTGTGAAATGGCAACTGCTAAATTGTAAACTTGCTTCTTGGGTTTTATCAATGTGGAGTTGGAGGATCACCATATAATTCATCAAGCTTATCTTCGTAGCACAGAATTTTGCAGGAAGCCCAGAAGTGATGCCCTATGTGTTCCTTCTATTTAACATCTTATATTTTGTTTTATGCAAAAGTGAGTACATTTTTTATTGCTAATGTTTTGGTTCTATTTCTCTTTTAATTTTGTCACTTTAACTTCTTAATGGCATTCACTTTCTCCATGTTGTGCTGATGAATGTTCATTTGTAGACTTATCTCTTCAAGCTGATGAATAGCAGCGGAATTACAGAGTCCGGGGAGAGTGAGAAGGTGTTACTGTTGATGGAAAGTGGTGTAAGGTTGCACACTACTCAGTATGTCCGGTGAGGCTATTTGTTTCTGCATTTGTAGATTTGCTATTTTCTGGGGAGCCGTTATTTCTGTTTAAATGTATCTCTTCACCTTAGGCGCATTTGTAATTATATAGGGACAAAAATACGACACCTTCTGGATTTACTCTAAAACTGAGGAAACATATACGAACAAGAAGACTTGAAGATGTTCGGCAGCTTGGATATGACCGTGTAATTACTCCTTGTAATTACTTTTACAGATAGAAGGAACTATCTTGGATAACCAAAAATATGTTATATGTTTTGGTGCTTATTTTCACTTTTTTGTTTAGCTTATAGCTAATTCTTGATTGCTAGCCAGTTAGATTTCTAATGATGTTGTTCTTTTTAATCTACAGATTGTTCTTTTTCAGTTTGGATTAGGTAGCAATGCTCATTATGTTATTTTGGAGCTCTATGCCCAAGGAAATATTCTTCTTACAGATTCTGATTTTACTGTAATGACACTTCTCCGCTCACACAGGTTCTTCTCATATCCTTGTTTCACAGTTTCTTTTGCACAATATATTGGTGATAATGCTTAAAATATGTTTTACTGTGTGAATATCGATTTTTGTTGTTTGTTTTTATAATTATACCATGGAATGAAAAAGTTGAGATTACCTGGTATTGATGCTTTGGCTTTATTAATTTTCAAAGATGTGAAATTCAAAAATGGTTGCTAACTTCGAATGATAGTTGGTTTTTGCAATGTAGTTGTAGTATTTGTAATCATGGTGATGATGTTTAAAGTCTATTTTATCATGTGAATATTGGTTTCTGATGTTTGTTTTTATACCATAGCATGAAATAATTAACATAAATTGGTATTTGATGCTTTGATTTTATTAATTTTCAAAGATGTGAATTTCAAAAATGGTTGTTAACTTTGTAGTGCTAGTTGGTTTTTACAGTATAGTATTTCTAATCATGGTTTGAAATCTCGGTTTGGCATTGACTATTACGATATTGTCTGATGAGGTAACTGTTCCATCAACTTGATAGTGGCCAATTGCCTAAACTCAAATTAATTATAGTAGACAAAGTTAATGGTGTCACAATCTCCCTAGTTAAGACGACTTCCTTGTCAATGTCCAAATCATAGTCTAGAATCATACCTTAACATGATTCATGTGAGATCCAGCTTAGCTTAGTGATGTGCCTTTAATCCCAACTATGGGTAGGCCTTTCCTACGAGGGTCCCTTACCATGCCAAATTAATGGCCCTTTTGTGGTAGCTGACATATTGACTTAATTGATTTAAACCACTGGTTTAAAATTCTTGAGAACAAACTAATGGAAGGAGACCCCACTTTAGCAACTTAGTTATCCTCTTATATCCGGTATGGGTTTACACTGGTTTTGGATATAATTTGTGGAAACGATACTTCTGATTTATGGAAACAATTTATGTTTTTGTTTATGATGTCTGTTAATGTGCAAGGCGTCTCAGTATCCAAACTACAATAGAGCATCCCAACTTTTGGTTTCATTTGGAAGTTCTAACTATATACTTAATTATTGCAGGGATGATGACAAGGGGTTGGTGATAATGTCACGCCATCGCTATCCAGTGGAGTCTTGTCGTCTTTTTGAAAGAACTAACCTAATGAAATTAAAGTCAGCGCTTATTCCTTTCAAGTCAGCTGATGAGAACAAAATTTCTGAGGCTACTGAAGGCACAAGTGACAAATCTAATGATCAAAGCGGTTGTAAGAGCAAGAACTTGCCAGCCTCAAACAAGGAAGCCAGTAGTAAAAATCAATCAAATAAAACTACATTGAAGACCGTTCTTGGGGAGGCATTAAGCTATGGACCTGCATTATCTGAGCATATAATTTTGGATGCTGGCCTGCTTCCAAATATGAAAGTTGGTAAAGATATTGATGGCAAAATTAATGAAGATAATTTTGAGGTTTTGGCACAAGCCGTCACAAGGTTTGAAGACTGGCTTGCCGATGTTATATATGGTCCTACAGTTCCTGAAGGATACATTTTAATGCAGAGTAAAACTAGTGGGAAGAAGGATCTTGTAGTCCCACAAGAGTCTGCTATGGACAAGGTAAGTATGCACTCCTCTTGTTCTTGAACATACACATTGGATTATGGGAGGAAATGTTATTCGCTTACATTCATTTAAGTAACATGACACTGGTATTATGTTAATTATAATCACTTCCATGGTTAAGCTGATCAAAGCATGAAGATGTTCTTTTTAATGTGGTCATTTGATTATATATTGATTTTTTTTTTGCTTGGTAAACCTTATTGGATAATTTTCTTTGCATGTGCAGGTCTATGATGAGTTTTGTCCTATTCTATTGAACCAATTTAAATCAAGGGAGTGCATGAAGTTTGAGACATTTGATGGTGCACTAGATGAGTTTTACAGTAAAATTGAAAGTCAACGAGGAGAACAGCAGCGGAAGGCAAAAGAAGAATCAGCTATGCAAAAGCTTGATAAAATACGCCTGGATCAGGTTCTTAAATACTTCTTGAATGAATTTATCTTCATGGACATAATGATGATGACATCATCATTATGACTATTAGCATCACATTCCCACAGAAATAAAAAAAATAAACAGAAACAAAAAGAAGGGGATGAGGATGAAGCCATCTGCACAAAAGAGATTCTGGAGAAACACACACCTCTTCTTTTGCCTTTATATCTTGTTGCTTATGATAACAAGGAAGGAACACATGTTAATATTAGATGTTGTCAAAGAAAATACCTTTGTAGTACACGTGTTAGTTTTCCCATTTGCTATTGTAATGCAGGAAAACCGTGTCCATGCACTAAAGAAGGAAGTTGATTATTCCGTCAAAATGGCTGAATTGATCGAGTACAATTTGGAAGATGTGGATGCAGCCATTATAGCTGTTCGTGTTGCTCTTGCAAATGGTATGAACTGGGAGGATCTTGCACGTATGGTAAAGGAAGAGAGAAAATCAGGAAATCCTGTTGCTGGTCTAATTGACAAGCTCCGTCTTGAAAGAAATTGTATTACTTTGCTATTAAGTAACAACCTTGATGAAATGGATGATGACGAGAAAACTGCTCCTGTTGAGAAGGTACTGGTGGAAGTTCAGTGTCATCACACTGTTTGTGTATATACAGCCTGCTACAAGTTACTTCTTGCAAAGTATTTTTGTGCGGACATTACTATGTTCCTACACTGCATCAAAGATTACATTAAAAGTGCTGCTTAAAAAAAATTCTTAGAACTCGAAAATATTAAAAGTGCTGCTTAACTGCTATAATGCTCTATATTTTGGGAAATCTTTATATCAGAAACTGAGTCAGTGGTTATTTTAGGGAGTGACTTTCTGTAGAAACAGAGCTGCAGGGGATTTTTATAGTTGAATTCAGGAGATGTTAAGATACCAATTTCCTAATTTTCTTCTCTTGCTTTTTTATTGTTCTACTATATATATGTGTATGCACATATATGTGAAAATCAAGTCAGCAGCAATTTACCAATCCTTGTTGGTATTCCTTTGTTTTGTTTGGGCTGACCGGGTTGGCTCAGTTCAAGAGAATGACAAAGTAAAATACAGTTGCTGCATGTTTAAAATTTCTTATTGCAAAATTGTTGCTCCTTTTCTCTTAAAAGGTTTAGCAGATGAAACTAAATGATAACTCTCAAACAGCAGTACTAATGTTTGCATCTTTCACTGTAAAGTATGTCCATGGAAGTCCTTGACCTTAACAAGAATTGCAAAGTCATCTAATGTGGTTGTCCTATATATATGTCACTGATGTTTATCAATTGTCCTTTAGTAAAATAGGGTTCTGTTTTTCAAATACATGGGCTTTGATTATTCAAGAGACAATGACTATCCTTGTCCTGTGTAGATGCTCGAGTTGTTCCATGCATATCCATTTTTAGGAGTTTCAACCCAGGTGTTCAATCAAACACCTGCAAACGGCTTAGGTGGCTCTTTCCCTAAGTGGATTCTTAATGGGATTAACTGTTAGTCATTATAAGTGGTGTTCCATGAACATGTTCCTTTTATCCCTCATTTGACACCAATAGTTCTACAAATTCTGTAATGAATGCTCTTTGTTATATGTGTTATTTGACTATGCTATTTGGCAAATATTTTGATTTTCAATCAGCATTTGGGTTTAGTATCTTACGTGGATTGTATAATAAAAAGCACCCATGAAAAACCCTTGGGAATACAAACTTCTCAAGTATTGTGGGCGAGAGTATGGTATCTGAAGGACCAAATAACTCCATATCCGTTATTGTATAATTCATCACAATTTTTTTGTGAACTTATCAACTAGGAAATAAGTGTGTCCATAAGTTTGTACTACTTTGTTAGGTAATTTCTGACAGTAATCTTCTTGTCCTCTTTGGCATTCCTCTTGAAACTTTTATGGTTTACTATTTAGAGCATTTAGGAACTATGACAGCTTTGCTAATGGCAGCTATGATGTTTTTAGGTTGAGGTTGATTTGGCTCTTTCTGCTCATGCCAATGCTTGCCGCTGGTATGAATTAAAGAAAAGACAGGAAAACAAGCAGGACAAAACCATTAAAGCGCATGAGAAGGCTTTCAAAGCTGCTGAGAAGAAAACTCGACATCAACTTGCTCAAGTATTCCACGGACCATATAGATTATTATAAATTATTTCTTTTTTGCTTGGGACGAACATGCATATATCTAATTCATGATTTGTGATTCTGTAAATGCATAACTGATTTTATTTTTTGTTACAAGTCTAAATTGCTTCATTGAACTTAAGGCTCAATTTGGACTTAACAAACAGAGGTGACATGTAGATGTGCTGTATGAGTTACTCACTGTGGCTGCCCTGGACATACAAATTGTGGTCTTCTTTAGTATATTTATAATTATGAAGTTTGGAACAAGCAAGTCCTGTGAGTGTTCATGTGAGCACCTTTGTGAACAGGGTCTTGGTCTCATTTGATGTTCCTTGAATTATTAAATATTTAAAACACTGAGAAATAAGCGGCTTTTTTATGAAATATTACGTATTGGTCATATTCATTAGAAATTCACATGGTATTTCTCTGAGCACTCAGGATGCTTCTAAACTTTCAGATATCTTTGATCTTTCGCAACATAAGAAGCCATCAATTCATATTACATACTGACAAAATATCAGGAATCTGTACACATTTAGTGGTTTCATCAAATATGAGTGCCTGACCAACACTTTAATTATTGATAAATATGTTGGCTGCATTATGGGCTTATAATTTGGAGTTACATTCTCATAGTTCATTTGCTACTTTCAATCTCTTTCTTAAAAAATTGATTGGTGTCATTTAATTGGCTGCTCAGGTTTGTGTCACTGTATTTGCAGGAGAAGACTGTTGCTGCAATTTCTCATATGCGGAAAGTGCATTGGTTTGAGAAATTCAACTGGTTTATCAGCAGCGAAAATTATTTGATCATAAGTGGTCGTGATGCACAACAAAATGAGATGATAGTTAAGCGATATATGTCCAAGGGAGATCTGTGAGTAAAGTTTGATGTATTTGTTTGGTACTTGTAGCATTTAGCTCAACATTTACTCTGTTTAGAGAGAATTTTAATAACTCCTTAGTTATTTGTTTATCTTAAAAGCACCATACACTCATTTAGGCAATTGTTTTCTTGAGTTATTTGGTGCACATTAGGAAAATCTTTTACAACACCTTTTCTATATGTTCAAGATCATAATATAGCATGTCAAGAATAAGTGTGAAGTCACATCATGTTGCATAAAATCTAGACCAATTTTTGTAAAGGTCTCTAAACAAGATGCATCTCATGGTAGTTATTCCCCTCCCTCCCTCCCTCCCTCTATCTCATTGTAAACATCTAAAATTTTCCCTTTCTCTGATAGCCTCAGCGTATTCTTTTAAATGCTGTGCAATGTAAAATTCCTTCATTTTAATGTTAGATCGTTTAATTTTTGGATTTTTTTTTATTTCAATACTCATATTATGTCGTGCAGCGTTAGGGTCACAGGTTTAAGTGTTAGTCTGCCAGAACTCAGTATTGGCATGGTGTTTCATGCCATGCTCAGATTATTCTCTCTTGGCGTAGAGACTGTGCCATAGTGATATGTATCACTAATAACTAGAAATATTAAATAACAAATGTTGACATTTGCAAGTTTGATATGACAATTTAACTTTAAGACGGGGAATGCTTTGGAGGTGTTTTGACATGCCAACAACCAACATACATCGGGCAGTGAACCAGTGAGACATTACTCAAAAGTAGACTGACTGTCCCATACCACTCTGGTACTGTACTGGTGTACCAATGTACCAGTGTACTGATGATGCAAACATATCCAATGATTGTGTAATATTATTCTTCATGGTGTACAAAGGCCTAGCATATTATATCTGTGGGTAAATGCCAGTTTGACAAGATTACATCTGGAGAATGCAACAATATTTAAATCCTGGATTGATACTTCAAACTGAAATCGAAGTCAAATAAAACCTGAATACAGCATAGGGGACCCATAGGCGTTAGAGTGTTAATAGGATTTTAGCAAGAAATGTATAGTTCCTGCCACGCCTTTAATACAAGACATCAGATTATGCTGGGTGTAATTTGAATTTGGTCCAAGATCAAGATTTAATTTTTAACAATGCCAGATAGACAACAGAATGATTAAACCAACCTTGTTATATTTGGCTGCATGATATTAAGTTTAGAATTTGTGATCATGTGATGCCATACTAGTATATAGTGTCCAGCTACTTGTTTCTTTTAGCATAATAATATTCTGATGGTTACTTGTGGTATCAGATAAAAGAAGCTTTGTAAGAATTTACCTTCTGGCAATATGTCTGATCTTCAGTGTAATATAGGTATGTGCATGCAGACCTGCATGGAGCTTCTAGTACTGTGATCAAGAATCACAAACCAGATAATCCAATACCACCTCTGACATTAAATCAAGCAGGATGTTTTACTGTGAGTTCCAACATTTTTTCACTTTTATTTGTTAGTATAAATATTTGTCTTTCCTTTTTCTTTTGAACATTAGATTATTGATTCAATTTGCTTTATATGGTGCTAGTGATATATCAACATCATTTGGTAGTTTAAGAGCCTTAGGTAACTGGAAGGTTTTAAGACAATTTATCTTTGCAGGTCTGTCACAGCCAAGCATGGGAGTCAAAAATTGTTACAAGTGCCTGGTGGGTATATCCACATCAAGTTAGTAAGACAGCTCCCACAGGAGAGTATCTCACAGTAGGCAGTTTCATGATTCGTGGTAAAAAGAATTTTCTTCCCCCGCACCCTCTCGTTATGGGCTTTGGTATTCTGTTTCGTCTGGATGAGAGTTCCCTGGCATCACATATAAATGAGAGAAGGGTGAGAGGAGAAGATGAGGGTCTTCATGAAATGGAAGTGGCGTCTCGCAGAGAGCAGAATAATTCTGATTCAGATGAGGAGATTATTAGTGAAGGAGACACAAATAAGGAGTCAGAAAATTACTTGAATAGTGGTGGGGATCATCCTAGTGTGGAAGTAGATAGTGCGTCTGGAGTTGATGCTACTTCTATTGCCTTAACTACCGACTTTAGGGCTCCAAATCCATCTGAGGAGTTTTCTCAAGATGATGCTGGCAACCAGAGAGATCTTAATGCTGGAAGCTTATCTGGCATAAATGATTCTAGTTCATCCCAACTTGACCTTCTTCTTGATAAGGCTCTTGGCCTTGGCCCTAGCCCTGCTAAGTTGTCAAGTAAAAGTTCTGGATTGGATTCATACGAGTCAACTCCAGTGGAGGCTCATATAAATGATGACAAAAAAGCTGCAGGAAGGGAGAAGCCCTACATATCAAAAGCTGAAAGAAGAAAACTTAAGAAAGGCCAGAAGAGCACTGCCGATATAGTAGATGTCTCCGAAGTAAAAGAGAACAATGTAGACTTGCAGCTAGATAGTAGTGAGAAGCTAAGGCCAGCTAATCTGAAGTTTGCACGTGGACAGAGGGGCAAACATAAGAAGATTAAGGAGAAGTATGCAGAACAGGATGAGGAAGAAAGGAGAATTCGAATGGCTTTACTTGCAGTAAGTTAAAATTGAAATTCTTTTAGGTCATGTGGGATCTTATCTTGAATTAGTACTTGACTCTTTCCCTGTTTTTGTTCTAACCCGTAATGTTTTTTATGGTTCAGTCAGTTGGAAAAGCTCCCCAGAAGGAAAAGGAATCAGATAACCATGTTGCTGTTGCTGGAAAATTAACCAGATCATCGACTGGTAAGTTATTATGGAATTATTGTAATCCATGTTATTCACATGGATATGTACTTTTCCATCTTAGCTGCACCAACAAGACCATTTGTGGTGGGCACTTTTGCATGTTAGCTATGCTTGAAAATTAATTTGTCTCTGGTCTTAATTGTAATTGCTTAAAATGTTGACATTTGGAATGTATTAATTTTGTACAGTTCTTTTTGGCGATTTATTTTTCATGATAGATGATGGATGTACTCTTGTGCTCTTTATTTCTATCTCTGATAGCAACTAAATGGCATTAATGATGCATGTCTATGTGAGATGTAGTTATGTACACTCAGTTTCTTTTAGCAACTGATGCTGTGCATGCTAGAAAAGTAACATTCTTTGATTTGCAATCATTTTCGGATGACGGATTTGTTCACTAACCTTTGTTGGGATGCAGATGAACACGACTCTTCCAAAATATGTTATAAATGCAAAAAGGCTGGTCACCTGTCTAAGGATTGTCAGGAATATACGTATCAAGCTAAGCAAGCAAATGGCAATGTTTCTGGAGATCCTCTGAGTGCAGAACCAGATAAAGCTAATATTGAAATGGATGTGGCTGCAATGGAGGAAGATGGCATCCATGATATAGGAGAAGAAGAGAGAGAGAAATTGAATGACTTGGATTATTTAACTGGCAATCCACTTCCTGGTGACATTTTGCTCTATGCAGTACCTGTCTGTGGACCTTATAGTGCCTTGCAAACATACAAGTATCGTGTCAAAATAACTCCAGGAACTGCAAAAAAAGGAAAAGGTATTCTCCTGGTTTTATTTTCAAATAATAATAAACTTGGATATATATATATATATATATATATATATATATATATGACGTTGTCTCAATAATTTTTGTTGTTTCATGAAACAACTTGTTTGACATATATTTCTTTGTTCACAACTTTCTCTGGTATGAAATGGTCACGGAGTTAATTTTGTTACAGCAGGTTTTGTTGTTTCAATTCGTGAACATGTGGTATTTAATTATTTATTTGATAACTAGTTCTTCAACCACATCATGTATCATGTAATATTTCATAACTTTTATGTAATTATTTTGGAGCTTGTGCAGTTTCATATTAACATGACTTCATAGAGGTGCATGAGAAGGTTTAGGAAATGCAAAGGTAGCCTCCATTTAGATATTCTCAGGATTTTTTTTGTAAATTTTTGATAAGTTTTACTTTTTTTAGAGTGGCTTGTATAAAGGTACAAGTATAATACAGACAGTTTGTAGCTACAGGGATAGTAAATAATTCATGGGGTTCCTTTGTTGTTGCTATGATTAACATCTGTGACTTGCACATTAACGATCCAAAAACATGTAACGCTAGCAGATTCCGAGTACCTATTGCAAATTGTTTTTCTGGTCAGAAAGATTATACGTTAGATTTGCATCAGTATTGATATTCATAGCAGCCTGCAGTAACCATCTTAGTAGTAAATAGTTCTTTGTTTTTCTATCGACTGTTACTTGAGTGTGATTATAACCCCCATAAAGGTGTATTTTGTTGTGCTAAATAATATTATGACCTTTTAGATTTCTCTTTTTCAAATACAAACATATCCTATCTGCAGTTAGTGACACTCTCTATACCTGTATGTGTGTATGGGCATGTATTTGACTGTATGTGTTGTTGCTGGCATGCTTTGCTTTTCGCAATTATGGTATCTATATGGTTATTTTTGTGTTTAAGGGAGAATTTCTCATCATAACATGATTGAGATCCTGTCATTTTTTCAGCTGCCAAAACCGCGATGAATTTGTTTAATCATATGCCTGAGGTGACGAACCGGGAGAAGGAACTTATGAAAGCATGTACAGACCCAGAACTGGTTGCGGCAATTGTGAGCAATGTGAAGATAACAGCTCCAGGATTGACTCAATTGAAGCAGAAACAGAAGAAGGGTAAAAAATCTGGCAAAGATAATTAGATGTTGTGTAGAAGTTTTGCCTAGTGGAGTTGAAGACATTCTGCAGGAGTGATTCTATTTCTCAAAAGAAGAGTGATACTCAACTTGGTGTCTTCTATTTTTATGGTCTCTTTCCTGAGTTCGGGAGATTTCAACACATCTTTTTTTCTTCAATACAAGGCACAAGTTTGCAGGTTCCTTGAATTAAGAGGACATGCAAATTACAAGTTGTATGTCGTTTGTCTCCTTTAAATTCTTGTAAAATGTCTATTGGTCCAAACTACAAAATTGGGTTCGTTCAGGGTTCGGCCCTATAATTATGACGTGCTGTGTGTAGGCAAGTGCTTTGTGGTGCCTTGTTTAGTTTTGCTTGAATATTAGTTCAAATGGTATAAGGTTAATTACATATTGTCTTTGTAGTTAGTTATTTTTAGTATTTTGATCTTTATATTTTAAAAAATTATATTGGTGGTTCATTTATTCTAACGATGTTAATTTTACCAACAAAAATATAAAAATAAAAGGTAAAAAAAAATTTTAACGTTCGGTGGTGGATGACGGTGCCACCCTCAGCTTACGTGTTCTAAATATCCATCGTCAACCTCCTTCATCTATCATCGTAATTATCATCACATTTGGTTGAGTTCGCATTAGCTCATTAGTCGTTAGCTGTCAACACCCATGGAAGTAGACAATTTCAATGAGTTGGCCCTCGCTTTAGTTGGGGGCATTGACCATTGGCCCTCGACACTCACGGATGTAGATAATTTTGAGGAGTTGACCCTTGGTGTGGTCGAGGGCTTTCAAGCTCTCACCATTGGTTATGAGGTCGAGCGTGATGGCATGCTTGAAAGTCACTGGCCGTGATAGGAGATTTGGCGACCAACTGATGGGTGCCGACACCATCGTTTATCACCGTCGAATGTTAAAATTATCTTTTTTTTCTTTGTTTTTATATTTTCATAAGTAAAACAAACATCTTTAGGGTAAATTGACCTAGATGTTTCACTTTCGTAATTATAAGAATGTAAATACAACTTTTTAAAGTATAAAGATCAAAACATTAAAGATAGCCCTAGATGTTTCACTTTCGTAATTATAAGAATGTAAATACAACTTTTTAAAGTATAAAGATCAAAACATTAAAGATAGCTAAATAACTTGAGACAATCTCTAATTAGCCCAATGGTGTAACGGCAAATGATGCTTAGCCCACAATTATCCGATACAGGTCTGTTGAGCATTATGCATGATCTTCCATGATATATTTAATAAAAAATATAAATTTATTAACAGATTTGATGATATTGAGAACAATCCCACGTGAATTCTTTTCAAGAAAACTTCTATTTTTTAAACGATATATTTTTAATTCTTTTTTAAATGTGTTGGTTATTTTCGGTGGAACGTTTCCACTTTTTGGAATCGGGCAGAAGGTTCATCATGTCGTTTATCTTTTCTCTCCATTTTCCCTTTTCTTCAATTCCATCCAATCCACCCAATAAAGGCAGAACACTTAGTTTGCAATTAAATAATATTAATGTATTATCTGCATTAACCAAAATAAATGTATTATCTCTATTCCCTTCACCAACATGCAATTTGAGCTTCGTTAACAATCCTGTTGGCCGTAGGGGAGTCAGGAATCTTGATTTGGTCGCTACTCGGATATTGGCCCCACAAGGAACTTGTATTTGAAACACTTGCCATTCCAAGTGAGCAATGACTACTCATGTCATTCATCATCCATATCCATCAGCTAAAGTTGATGAACGAATTCAAGTCAAATTAATCAAAACGAACTTAGATCAGATTCCTTCGATCCTCAGTAATATGGAGAATAATTTTCTTTCAGCTTTCAGCTGGCACATAATATCATCTAGACTGCAAAATGCTTGTGGAGTAGGCCACCTCTAAGACCATCAACCAGCCTTGATCACTAGCAGTAAAGAATCAGCTTCACCAAGGGAATCGAGAGCGCAGGAGAATGGTTCGGGTGCCATCACCTCTACACATCACAAGAGAGAGAAAGAATTGTGCATTCCCAATATCCTGCAATGTCGTATCTACCACTTTCAGAGGAAGTGCAATGACAACTCAAAGATCCGCAGCCATCCCCTACCCTCCCCTTTCACGTATCTCATCCAGTTAAAAGAATCACTCAGCATTTCACGGATAGCCTCTCTGGAAACACACAACCAACAACACATTTTAGCAGTCATGAGCAGCATGGATTAAAAGATTGCGACCACCTCAGAGGCTGTACATAAGGCAGATTGGGAAAAAAAAAAAACTAAAGATAATAACCGGAGAAGCCAAGTTCATAAATAGTAATTCAAAGGCAACACGTTTCCAACGGAAGAGCAGAATGTTGGAGTCTTACTTGTGAGTTCGTATGTCACAATCATCGAGGTACCCCAGAGTGACATGTTTAAGAACCTGGGGCCAAACCCTCTATAGAAACCTCTCCAGCCGTCCTCCTCAACAAGCCGCTTCATCGTCTTGGTAACTGATGGCCTGCCTACGTACCCGTTCATGACCTGTGTTTTAGGAAGAAAATATTCAGCTTGCCCGGTGACCATTGTCTACTAAGCAGATACAAAGTTGGACAAGAAAAGAATGCATAATTGGAATTCATGCCATCATCCCAAGGTCCACAATGTCATATAGAAAGCAGTAGGCCAAAATGTGCCTGTAGAATAGTAACCAAGTGCTCTACTAAATCATTCTCTTTTCTAGTCAATCAGAGGGTCTCTATATCAATGAATTTCAATATAAAACATTATCTTATATTTAAAATATATATATTTTTACACCTGCTTTGTCTTTTTCCCCTCAAAGAATTTAATGCACTTTATAGTTTAGACCTCATAAACCTGCGCCCATTTAGTTTCTTTGTTTTTCATCTTCTTCTTTCATCTTTATTTTTTACGACCGAGGCACGATGAATCCCTCGAACACGATCAGCACCCACTTGATTTCTGATGTCGTGATGGCCAAAGTAGCAGTTAAGAACCAAATAAGCAAGCTCGTTCTATCACACTCTTCAATACAATTTTTTTTCAAGTTACCATTCTGCAAGATTAGAGGACTAAATTTACCTGCAGCCGAGTCTTGATTGTATCTATCGGAGTAGTGATAATTGATGAACAAGCACCAGCCAAGGTTCCAGCAGTCGCCTGAACAGTTACTAGCTCTAACTGAGATGGTTTTTTCTCTGCATCATTTTGATAGCCTAAGCTCCTGACCAAAAGAGAAAATAACAAAGATGTTTGTACATACACGTACTTGGCTATTATGATATGCAACCTGTAATTTCTGAACAAAAGCTACCCTATAAATAGAGAACAATATTGTGACAGACGTACCTCCAAATAACATGTTGAGCAGCACCATAAGCACCCCACCAAAGAGCAGATGCAGGTGACTGGGTTGCCACTGTTATCCCGAAACCTCTATAAAGGCCATGAAGTCCCTCGCTCCTGAGCACTTTACGAATGACATCAAAAGGGCCATTATATTTGATCATTTCAGGCAGACCTTGCACCATCAGTCTCTGGGAAATCTAGGAATATGAGCAAAACTTAGTTCAAATATAAGAATGCACAGGATCTGATGTTGTGATGTCAGTGTGCTTCCTTTCCTTTTTGTGTGAGCAGATGCAGGTGCGAGTGGCTTTTTTGGTGGATGTGTGTGTTGAAATCCAAAACAAGTATTCATTGTTGCAAATCTCAGTGTTGAGTAGACTAATTGCAAGATGCCCTTGATTGTCCTGATTTAAACAAAACATTTGTGTGACAAAGAAAGGGTGCACAAATAGCCCTTGTGAAACCAAAACATAGTCTAGCTCAAATTCATGTTTTGCTTCTATTATGCTAAAAAGCCTTTTTCCTTAGTTGGATAACATATTTATTAAGATCAGGATACGTAATGCATGCTATAGTGGTGGAATTTTAACACACCAAATGAGACAACAATTTGATGGGGATAGGCTTCAATAAATGGAAGGACCGGAGGAATATATCTACTGGTTGTAATCTTAAAGGGACAAATCACTCTTTTTATTTGATTGCTCCAAATCACATCGCTGTATTCTTTAACTGCAATTTATTGTATTCCTAAAGCATCATTTTTTTTTGTTAATCATTTTAAGTATAAATCAGGTGGCAATGAAAAGTACATAAACATGATGCAGCACAAATTCAATATCCTTTTCCTTTTAAACAATAGCCCCTCTGCATACATCAATATTACTAACTGGAAGAAATTGTGTGAAATAATGGTGCCTAATCAGGACAGGGACTTCAGTGCTTAGATGGAAAAACATGTAACATAAAATAAAATCGGAGCTGCAAATTAGAAATGTTTAATGAATGGGATAAAGATAACTTACCACATCCAAAGGCACAAAATAAACACATGAAAATACATTTGAGACCAACCCTGCCGCTCCATTAGACAAAGCAATGCGTGTTGCCTCAGAAAGATCCATGTGTTCTGTGTATTTGAGCATCATATCTTTAGATACTTCAAGTGATGTAAGAGCCAATACTCGACCAGGTAACGATCCAATGGCAGAGGTACCAAAACCTCTGTACAGTCCAAGAATTCCATCGTATCTTAGTATTCTTCTAAACATTGAAAATCCATGCATGTGTGATAATCCTGCTTCAGCAACTTGAATTCTAGTTTTAACAACAGCTGTTGGATGCAATAACCCAGATTGAAGAGTAAAGAGAACAGCACCAATAACATGGAACCTCGTCTTGTCCAACCTTAACTCCACAGCAAAACCAGCAATTAATTAAATCTTTTAACTGTCAGAAGATGCAGGACAAACTGACATTTACTAGATTTCAAACAAGGTAGATGGGATGCCACCAGAAGAAGAGAAATATGGGCGAATATAACAAAACACAGTAGTTTGGTGGGCTAGTGTATAAATCTAGGTCAGGCACATCCTTCAAAGAGTGACTACTAATACCAGAAATCATTCAATAAAACATCCTCATCCTCATGCTTTCCAAGGAATAGACATGAAGATATAAATATGCATCAGATTTGGAGACACAATGATCTACATTTATAACAGGGAACCACCAATGAAGTGGAAGAAGCTTATGTGACACCAAATTAGCTTTTTAGATGAGCATGCATCATACTCTGTGACACAATGGTCTACATTTATATCAGGGGACAACCAGTGAAGTAGAAGAAGATTAGGTGAGACAGGATAAGTAAAAGTTAGCTCTTAGATGAGTATTTGCTAAGTCAATAATGAGTCAGTAAAATTAGGTTCAAGATTTGTTCTCTCTGTTTTTGTTACAGTTATAGTGTGCCTATGGTTGTTGTCAAATATTACCAGGCCAAAAAAATTTGTCGATGATTGTGTTTTGCTCTTTTGTATTCATCAATCGGAAATAATTAATAAAATAATTATCACAAACAAGACAGCCTGAGTAGTCCCTTCTGCAATCGCACGATTGCCATCACTCAGCCACTGGATTATTCTAGCTCACATGATTACACTGCATTTTGCATTTGGTAATTAAAGTTTTACTGGCCAGTAGAACATAGAAATGAATGGAAATATTTTGGACAAGATAAAATAAATTGCCAGGACACAAACAAAAACACACACTATTGTTAAAATATCTTCCACAAACATACTGCAATCAACAATATCATCACAATCAGACGCTGGCGATCGGTAACATATGATCATAATGTATCAGCTCGGAGAGAATGGATCAAAAACTCTGACGGGCATAAATTTTCCTTCTTCTTCTCATATGTCCGCCAAGCACTATTATAGACTACGGCTCAACTATTTGATCAAGAAATCCGAGAAACGAACAGAAAGTGCTACTAAAATTTATTGACAAATGCCAGAAATGATCTTTACCCTAAACGCATCAAGAAATGTAAGAAAAACACGAAGCTTTATAAGAAGAACAGATTCTTTTTCCTCCTTTTCGTTCATCCACCAAGCACCAGTACATACAGACAATGTCTCTATTATTTGATCAAGAAATCCAAGAAATTAATAGAAACTGCAACACGAGTATCTTGACAACTCGGAGCTTTAAAAGAGAAGGGAAACTTCTCCTTCTTTCCAATCGTCCAAGAAGCACTAGTATCGTACACTACGACTCAAATATTTGATCAAGAAATCCAAGAAACGAGCCGAAACTGCTCCAGAAATTTCTTGGCAATTCAAAGAAACGTCTTCATCCTAAAACCATATAAAGAAGGAAAAGAAAAAGGGGACACTTAAAAGCGAAAATATCCAAGAAATTTAGGGGAGGAAGAAAAGAAGAAGCATAGACGAAGAAAAAGGGAGGAAACCTGTCCCAGTTGATGTTGGTCTCGGAGAGGGCGAAGTCGGCGGCCGTAGCCTCTGCTTCCACCGCCATCAGGTCACCTTCTTCCACCACCGTCAACAACAACGGAAGCAGCACGCGGACCTAAACCCCAACACCTACTTCCTCTTCTTGGACAAAATACAACGGAGGAGGAGACGAGAAGAGACGAGGCCGATGCGTTAAATCCCTCGTTTCCTCCTGCTTCTTGGAAACGGAACCCATCTCTGTCCCTCTCCCATCGAGAAGAACCGCGGACAAGCTTCTCCGTGGCGAGAGAGACACAGAAGAACAAGAAAAAGGCGGGCCGACTCAAACAAAATGTCACGCGATAGTCATGCGCTTGCCCCCAACCTCCTACCCGCGTGGCAACGTGCGGACCAGACGTTCCTCAGTGGGTCCCACAATCGGGCCCGGTGCGTACTTTTGGGTCAACTTATGTGGCGGTGCCTCAGTCAAACTTCACGCCCTCCGCGTATATTCGTTAAACACTTCGTATGTATGCCTGTATAAATTGAAATTGCGATATATACCCCTTAAAAATTAAATGGTGTACGTCATATTAACGATCGATTGGAGAATGCTAACTTTGTAATGTGTTATATGCCAGACGCAAATTATTTAAGGACGTGAGTACACAAATGATTTATCTTTGGAAGTACATATAAATTTGCCATATTTAATTAGCAATAAAATAAGCTGTACTACATGATAAAGTTCAGAACTTACCCCACCCTGCAGCCTTACCCAACGCGCCTACCCTTCACCACGTGGTCAAAGTCATGTGGGCTCCACATTTTTCTCTCTCCATCGGATCTACGGTACACCTGTCGTTGACGAGGCCTTTTTCTCGCCACCAGAGTGGCCGAGCTGTATTGGTTCGGACAGCAAACACAGTTCCCTTCTCAAAAGGATGATGCCGACGTCAGCGAATCAAGAATATTGTGGGACCCGTCAAGCTATAGCAAGGGGGAAGCTCCATGATTTCTGTCTGGAACGAGACAGGTGAGCTGCACCCCTCTGAACGACATACCTTTCTTCTGCCATGGGCTTCACGTGCTCCTCCTTCGCGCCCCATCCTCGCGCGTTCAAGAAAGAATCGAACGTCATTTGTTCGCTTGCGAACAGAGCGAGAGCGCGCCGACAAACCTGCCCGCCTTCGCTGTCTTTACTCTGATCCACGCCGACTACTTTAAGAGATGAGACAGTGTTGAATCCTGTGACTGAACAGATCGAGCGAACGCCTGTCGAGGGAGAAAGAGAGGCTCGGCCGCGATGGTCGGCACCGCGGGACGGTCTGCTGGTCTTCGCAGCATTCCGACGGGCCTTCTGCTGCTGCTGCTGCCTCTGCTGCCGGCAACATTACCGGTTGAGACCGCGTGCGGCTCAGGCGCCGTCGTCTTCAACTTCGGCGACTCCAACTCCGACACCGGGGGTCTCACCGCCGGCCTCGGCATCCTCCTCCCCCAAGAAGAGGGCCGCGTCTTCTTCCGCCGCTCCTCCGGCCGCCTCTGCGACGGCCGCCTCGTCATCGATTTCCTCTGTGAGTGAACCCTACTTACCTCGCCGACCTCCTTCGAGATCTTTTAGCGGAGAATGACAGTGGGTCGGTGTTGGCAGGCGAGAGCTTGAACACCAGCTACCTGAGCCCGTACATGGAGCCGCTGGGGGCGGATTTCAGCAGCGGGGCCAACTTCGCCGTTGCCGGCTCTTGCACTCGCCCACCGGACGTTCCCTTCGCCTTGGCCGTCCAAGTGCGGCAGTTCCTCCGCTTCAAGTTGCGATCTTTGGAGCTCGTTGCTCAAGGTTTCATCTCTTATCTTTATCAGACTGTTGAGATCAATGCTTTCAATCGAAGGCATTGGCGATGCACTTAGCATGAGCTGTAGAATGCACCATTGGTGCATGTTGCAGGTGCCGAGGACCTGATTGATGCAGAGGGATTCCGCAACGCGATATATGCCATTGACATCGGGCAGAATGATTTAGCAGCAGCCTTTTCTGCAAATTTAAGCTATGTTCAGGTCATCGAAAGAGTCCCATCGGTCATCCATGAGATCAAGAAAGCTATTGAGGCAAGTCTTAGTATAAATCATCAGTTACTTGATGTTTGTTTGATTCACGGAAGATGTCTTTCGATCTTATGATGGAATTACTGCAAACACTATGCTGTTGTCTATGGTACATTTGACAATCTATATCTTAGCTTTACTGATTCCTGATGTTGACTTGAATTTGACTTTGATTGAATATGCAATGGTTTCACAAAAGAGGGTTTTCGTGTCGAATGCGTTGACTACCTCAACTTAGCTTTGTCAATTCCTTGATCTAGTTTGAAATCAACCTTTGGCTGATTCTACATTAGTTTTCACAAAATGTTGACTTTTTATTGGGTTAAGATCAAAGTGGATTGAATGTGCATATCTTACATTTGCCAATTGTTAATATCAATCTGAATGTGTCTTCGTTTTATGCTGCATTGGATTCATAATGGTTGATTTCCAATGTCCATATGAAGTAAATTGACTAACTATACCGAAGATTAAATTCTCATTCAGTTATCTATCAGACCGGTTTGGTAGTGTTGCTCATAAAAGATAATGATAATAAATAATACCCGATTGGTATCGCACCATATTCACCGGTATTTGAAACCATGAAATAGATTACCTTCATCTGTTTTCTTTTTCTTTTTTTCCACAGTGAAGAACTTATAGTCAACTTCAACAAACCTACTAATCCTGCGAATATAGCTTATTACTTGGTATTTATTCTCATTGATCTCTATGTTTCCTTATGTCTCTGATGAAGTGCAAATGCAGAATTTGTATGACAATGGAGGGAAAAAGTTTTGGGTACACAACACTGGCCCCTTGGGATGTTTGCCTCAAAAGCTTGCCCTGCCGCGAAAACACAACAGCAGTCTCGATCCATATGGATGTCTGATTCCCTTCAACAATGCTGCCAAGGAATTCAATGCCCAACTGAGTGCTCTTTGTGATAACTTGAACTCAGAGTTGAAGAATGCCACCATTGTTTACACTGATATCTACTCTATTAAGTACGATCTCATCGCCAATCACACTGCATACGGTAAGCTGTCGAATTCATGTATCGAGCTATCTTCATAGTTCAAGTTCCAAGTTTCTTTTCAAAATTTCATTGCGAGAGGGAAGTGCATAGCGCAAAATCCATGGCTTATACTTGGATATTTGTTTCTTGTAAATTCCAAAGTTTCTTTTTGATTGCATTTGAAGGTGCACATCATCAAAATGCTCATGATTACTTCGAATAGGTAACAAAAGACCATCATCCTAAGTTGCTTCCATGGACAGTCTCCATGATTCTGCCATGTGATCTGTTTTGCAGGCTTTGAGACTGCACTGATGGCATGTTGTGGATATGGTGGACCTCCATACAACTTCAATCAAAGGATTGAGTGTGGTGCTTTTGGCTCCCAAGTGTGCCCTCTCGGCTCAAAGTACATCAGTTGGGATGGGGTTCATTACACTGAGGCTGCCAATGCTATAGTGGCTTCCAAGATACTGACAACAAAGTATTCAAAACCCAATCTTGCCTTTGATTACTTCTGCACTGCTTAATTTTTATGCTTCGGATTCACTCATTAAGCTCGAGTCGATTTACATCGCGATAACTGTAATTTAATTTCCTTCCTAGCATACATGAAAAAAAGATGTGAAAGAAGAAGAAAAGGAGGTAGAATCTGTCAGCAAGTTTTGCCTACATCCTATTGAATCTCTTTGCTGAATTTGTATGTGGATCTCTTTAAATGGATGGGATTTTTGTACTGTTTCTCATTATATCTCATCAAAGAAAAACAATTTTGATTAGCCATGTGGCACAGAACTATATCTTTGAGCTCCAAAATCAGTTTCAGTAAGCAAACTCTGTGCAGTCCTCCTGGCAATCACTACTGGATTTTCTTTCTCTGGAGCTGAGGAAATGGGCTTTGGATCAGAGTCATGTTGAGCTTCATAAATCACATGGGCAGGATAACTGTTTCCCTTTGACTTAATCTGGCCATCCTATTTAAGCTGCTCGCAGACATAATTATTATGTCCAATCTCCATGGGCTAATACTTGATGGCTGTCATTCCTGTCTGTTCACTGTTTTGCATGAGCTATAAGGGGTTCTCTGAATCATTAAACTGTTGGATTCATCATCTAAGTTCTGAAACCTGTTGGATTTTGACAATCTTTGTGTTTGAGACAGTCTCTCTCTCTCTCTCTTATATATGCATGCAAATCTGATGATGATGGCTTAACTGTCACACATTTATCTTTCTCAGATCAATCGAGATGCCTTAGGTTACAATCTCCATCTATTCTGTTTGCTTGATCCTTCCGCAGCAACAAAAACCTTATGAACATGATGGAGACTGAACCATGATTGAAGTCCCTGCAGAAAAAACAAGAAGAAAAAGATGGGAAAAGCCATCGCCACCAAGAAAGATGCGACGTAGCAATGCAGGCCACTTGAACCCTCGAACAGTCTCTGTTGTCATGTCAATGTGTCCTGTGCATGCTGTTTCATGCAGATTTCAACGCTTCTTCTCAGCCGCTCAAGACTCCGCCTTTACCTGAAGTCACATCTCCTCAATCTTTTTCGTGCGCCTCCATTTCAATCTGATCACAAGAAAAGAGTTCAGCAATGCACTCTATTTCCTCGATCCATCTTCTCCTTCTCTCTCTCTTGGTTGTCTTCTTCTAGGTTTGACATGGATAGACTTGGCACTGCTCACTGCCCGGTGGCACGAGTTTAATGCACGGCAAGGCCAGCACCAGAGGCAGCAGCCATGAAAGCAAATCCAACACAGCTTGAGAGGGATCCAACCCAGCAATGGGAGCCACAAGCGCATTGTGGGTGCTGTGTCCCACACAGTCAACTCCTGAGATCCCCAAACCCCCCCCCCGATGAGGCTTGCATTACTTCACAAACTGTAGGAAGAAAAAGGAAGCCCATTGTGCTAGACAGCATCATTCAACTCCCACTACACCAGACAATGCATTGCATGTGGATGCTTGAGAGCCATTGCTCTTCAACAGTCCTATGCTTTCCACACTCGATCAGAATGAGTTCAGCTGTTGCTGCTAAACCGTTCTTTTGTGTGCGATGGAAAAGAGAGACCTTGATTAAAAAGGACATCTTACCTACAACTCCGACCAGCTTATTTGAATCTCTATCATGTTGTTATTGCCTTGGATTTACACCATGATGCATGATCTCTTTGCACTTC